CAGTGGGGGTATACCAACTTCCTGGCACATGGATGAGTTCACCAACCCCCAGAGCCCCTCTGGCTGAAGAACTTCTATAACTCAATCTCCAACCCCCCTCATTTCTCATGATGGAGACTAGAAGTTCCCAACCTCTTTTAATCTCAAATTTGGTCTTTCTGGTGATATTCCTGAAGCAATTCTGGGTCTTCAAACTGGGCCATCTCATAGTATAAACACTGAGTAATCCTGAGGGATTTGTTTTGAATAAAAAACAAGTACTCCTTTCTCAGGAAATTGTGTTTCAGGAACTCTTTGCCAGGAACTGCCCTGGGTGACCAGATAGGTGTCCAAACATGTATCTACATGTTCTTGAGAGGTATATTTATACTTCTAAATTAAATGTAAAATAGTGTGCTTTCTCATTTTAAAGTCTTGTAGAGGAAAAAGTAGCTTCTCTTAGGTTAGAGGCAGTAAAGTAGCCAATGTCTAACAGGAAAGGCCTTGTCTTTTGCTTCTAAAATGTTGACCCAAACCTGACTCTTATCTGTCACGTTTTTATGACTGTGTGGTGTTGGGTTCTCTTCCCATGGTGCCCATGTGGAATTGTGTTGACCCTGTTTGTGGGCAGTTTTCTCCCCCTTTTTTGGGACTGCAGAGGTAAGGACAGGATGCCAAGGTGGGGCAGGGAAGCCCTGGTGCTTTGGGAGCTCTCGGTATGGGCTGCATTCAATGAGATGCAGTTGACATATGAGGTGGCAAGGATGCAGAACACCCAGCACTTGGGAGGCACTGCTGGGAGCAGAGACTCGGGGTAATGTATGTTTGGTACTGATTCAGAAGGAAAGCAACTGATCATATGACCTGGGTAATTTCTTCCTGGTTATTTTATTGCTTTTTAGATATTTGTGAGTTGGTGTTATGGTTATTTTAGAATTTAGGCATTGGTGACCACATTTTATTTCAATTTACTTTTTTATATAGAGTTAGTTTTCATTATGGTTCATTTAGTTTTGACAAATGAATAATTTTATCATGTAACCAATAAATAGCACCATGAATACACAGAACATTTTCAGATGTTCTCCCTATCTCATATTCTCTCAAGTTGCCCTTTTGTGGTTAGAACTCCACCTGTATCCCTGTTGGGCACTGAATTGTCCTTGTAGGTTAGCCACTTCTTGAATGTCATGTTAATAGAGACACAGAGTAGGTACCTTAGAATCAGGCTCTGACATGGCATGATGCATGTGGGATTCATTTGTGTTGGTTCCTGTTCGTGGTGGTATAATACTGGGGTGAGGCCAGACGCATGAGTGTGAAAAAATTCACTGGAGACAGTGGAGGACAGAAAATGCAGATTTATAGAAATAAGCTGCAAGGGAGCAGGGGGCAGGACAGGAGAGATCTGTGGACCAAGAAAGATCTGAGGTTCTCTTTCATTCTCTTTCATGGGTTTTCCAAATTGGATGTCATTTGCACCAGTTACCTGCTAGGATATCTGGCTTGGGGCCCTAACCTTTGACACAGAATATGTTCTGGCGTCTGCCTCTGCATTCCTAGGGCTAGGCTGGTTCTTCTGATCATGGTGGTTGGTCTTATGACCTGGTTCCCATAAATTCCCTTATTCAAGCCTCTGAAGCTTGCCTTCTGGGCAAGGAGTGAGGACTTGGTTTTTAACCTCATTAAATGGTGTCCAGCACCTGTGTCAATGATTGGGCCTTTTTTGCTGCTGAAGTGCAGGCCATAGGAGCCATGCTGTTTGTGTTTTCTTTCTTCTTGTTTGAGGGGCGTTGGGCATGCTTTCAGTTAGAGGTGATCAATAATAGGTTTTCAGGTGAGTGTAAGTAACACCCTCCATCCCCCTGTGGGCTCTATGATAGGTGTATGCTACTGTTAACAGGGCAACCCCAGAGCGATAAGGGATGGCCTGAGTGGGAGTGCTCACCCAAATGCTTGAAAAAACACTCAGGACAAGACTCAAGGGCAGGCACACAGGGAAAGTTTAATAAAAGGTTTATTTACAAGGGAAATGAGGGAGCGCGCGTGCGCGCATGCACATATACACACATACACAGAATGCAAGAGAGTGCAGGCCCAGGTGTGTTTGGTTTCATGCATTGCATGACTGTTTCATGCCATCCTTAGTTTCCAGCAACCTCCCCCCCCCCCATGATGGGGGGGGCATCACCTGGGATATCTTTGGCATGAGGTGGGGGTGGAGCTCATAAACATCAGTGGGAGGAGTTCATTCAGCTCGTACTGTTCCCCCCAACAATTCTGTAACTCTTTTTGCACCTTTATCAGAAACCAGGTTACCCTGTATATGTGGGTCTGTTTCTGGACACTGTTCTGTCTCCTTGATCTGTGTTTGTCCTCTCACCGGTACCATACAATCTTAATGACTTGAAATCTTGAAATCAGGGTGAATCTTTGTGTTAGTTCTTCCTTTTCAAAAACATTTGGGCTCTTTCCTGCCTGTGTATGATGACATCTACAAAATTTTCCTGGGATTTTTATTGGAATTGTGGTAAATGTATAGATAAATATAGGAAGAATTGATGTGCTAACAATAGAGGGTGCTGTGATTCATGGGCCCAGAGTACCTCTGTATTTATTAAGACCTTTGATGTTCTTTTTTCTTTTTTTAAAAAAAGATTTATTTATTTACACAAGCACTGGGTACAGTCAGAAGCGCGGGAGGGTGAGAGAATTCGCCAGAGCGTGGAACAGAACAGGCAGACTGATGAAATACACTGCTGAGGTCTGTGCACCATGTGGAACCCTCACCAGTGGCCGGGGATGGAACCGGCGCTGCAGAGGCTGAGGGTAGCTTCGCAGCCTAGCGTTCAACCACTGTGCCACCAGGGGAGGCCCTGATGTTTTTTCTTGCTGTGTGATTGTTTTCTGCATACAGAATCTGGAGATGTTTTGTTAGATTTAGATTGCTTTATTTCAGGTGTTTTGGTGCTATGGTGTTTATGAGTAGTACTTTAGTTTCAATTTTAACTCTTTACTGCTAGCCTATGGAAATGCATCTTGCTTGTATAGTCTCCTGTGTCCTGTTGCTTAAATTCCCTTTATTTTTGTAGTTTTTCCTGTAGATTTCTTTGCATAGGATTATGTCAACTGCAGTTAAAAGACTGTTGAGAGTCTTCCTACATCCTTTTATTTTCCTTTCCTTACTGCCCTGGCTAGAAGCGCCAGTACAATGTTGTGTAATAGTGGGGAGAATAGACATCCTTGTCACTATTGAGTAGTTTTTACGATGGTTTTTTATTCAGGTTTAGGAAGGTCTCTTCCTGTTTGAGTTTTTTTTTTTTTTAAAGATTTATTTATTTATTTATACAAGCACTGGGTACAGTCAGAAGCACGGGAGGGTGAGAGAATTCACCAGAGCCAGAGCAGGGAGCAGAGCAGGCAGAAGGACCGAAGTACACTGCTGAGGGGTGCAGCGGGCGGCATGAGAGGTCTGTGTGCCATGTGGGACCCTCGCCTAGTGGCCGGGGATTGAATCGGCGCTGCAGAGGCTGCGGGCAGCTTCGCAACCCAGCACTCAACCGCTGCGCCACCAGGGAGGCCCTTGTTGAGTGTTTTTTTTTTTAATAGAGGCATGTTTTATTTATTTATTTGTTTGTTCGTTTTGTTTATACATGCACTGGGTACAGTAAGAAGCGTGGGAGGGCGAGAGAATTCACCAGAGCCAGAGCAGGGAGCAGAGCAGGCAGAAGGACCGAAGTACACTGCTGAGGGGAGCAGCGGGTGGCAGGAGAGGTCTGCACGCCATGTGGGACCCTCCTCCGGTGGCCGGTGGCCGGGGAGCAGCCGGGGATTGAACCAGTGCCGCAGAGGCCGCAGGCAGCTTTGCAACCCAGCGCTCAACCGCTGCGCCACCGGGGAGGCCCTTGTTGAGTGTTTTTATCATGAAAGGGTATTGGCGTTTCATGTCCTTTCTGTGTCTAATGACATCATATGGTAGTTCCTTAACTGTTAATGTATTGGATTATCATTACTACTTACTTACTTTATTTATTTATTTATTTATTTATTTTAAAAGATTTATTTATTTATTTATACAAGCACTGGGTACAGTCAGAAGCGCGGGAGGGTGAGAGAATTCACCAGAGCCAGAGCAGGGAGCAGAGCAGGCAGAAGGACCGAAGTACACTGCTGAGGGGAGCAGCGGGTGGCAGGAGAGGTCTGCACGCCATGTGGGACCCTCGCTTGGCAGCTAGGGATCGAATCGGCGCTGCAGAGGCTGCAGGCATCCTTCACAACCCAGCTCTCAACCGTTGCGCCACTGGGGAGGCCCTATTTTATTTATTTTTTAAACATTTATGCATATAGGAACTGGGGTACAGGAAAGAGGTGGGGTGTGGTGAGAGGATTCACCAGAGACATAGTGGGGAACAGAACAGGCAAACCTACTGAAATACACTCCTGAGGGGACCAGTGGGTGAGACAGGAGAGGTCTGCTTCGCCATGTGGGGTTAGTTACCTGGCCAGGGATCGAACTCATGTTGCAGTGGCTGGCAATAGCTTGATAGCACTGAGACTTAAAACCCCTTTTAACCTTTGTGCTCTGTGGTCACTGTGATTGGTTTCATAGCCAAAATGACACTGTTTAAAATCTAGAGCCTAGCCTTTCAGGGCTCTCTCTTGGGCTGCTCCTTTCTGTGGAGTTTTGAGCTTCAAGGACTTGGCCTTTTTAGACTAGAGCTCTTATGTCTGGCTTACTTCCTCTCTTCTTAATTACAGTGTTTCTCCTAAGGTTGCTATCTTTAGATTTCTAATGGTTGAGCAGATTGAAAATCAAAAAAGGCTCCCAGGCTGGTTGGCCATCTAGTCTGGGTCCTTGCTAAGCCCTAGCTTGCTCAGCTCCCAGGGGGGAGCTGGATGCTGAGTTGGGGTGTGGCATGAACAGTGAGGTAATAAAGACCACAGGAAACCAGCAGTGGGATGAGGTGGGTAGTTCCAGTTGCCTTGATCCAGCACTTAGGCATTACTGCTTTGTTTTGTAGTATTTTAACCACATAAGTATCGAGGACTCACGGGTCTACGAGCTGACCAGCAAGGCTGGACTGTTGTCTCCCTATCAGATCCTTCACGAGTGCCTTAAAAGGTAGGGTAGGGATGGCGAGTGGGAGGCTGGTGTCTCTTCTCTGGGTGCCCCGTATCCTTACTGACCATTTATTCTGGTTCGAAAGGCAAAGCTAAAGGCCAAACCATTCTAAGTATTCCCTGTGCATACAGAGTCCTCTGTGATCAGGCCCCTGTAGAGCTGGGTGTGGTCAGTGAGTCCTCTCCTCTAGCTTCTCTTTCGAGAACCCTTAAAGGACTTCCCACGAGCAGCCATTACCTCTGCCTCAGCTGATGTCACCTGTTGTCTCTGTTTTCTCTTAAAGAAACCATGGAATGGGTGACACATCTATAAAGTTTGAAGTGGTTCCTGGTAAAAACCAGAAGAGTGAATATGTCATGGCTTGCGGCAAACACACAGTGCGAGGCTGGTGTAAGGACTTTCTCCCCTCCTTCCTACTACCCATCACGCTTTCAAATGGCTGCTGGGAGGTGTTGCCCCTCTGTGTGTCCTCTCAGGGAGTTCTGAGCCTCTGTGGGCCTCCAACCACTGCTCTGCTCCCCAGCTACGCTGTGTCTGTTTACCACTTGCAGCGTGCTCATGAGCCTCTCAGGTGGACGCTGAAACAGCCTGAGGCACCGCTGACCTCCTATCTCCTAGACTCAGGCCAGTTGTTTCGGCTAGCCTGAGTGTTCCCATCCTGTCATCACTGTCCCTGCCCATCCCTGGGTCCTCATGGTAGGAGCGGGGTGTCCTTTTAAACAGCAGTTTCTCCAAGCTGCTGGGCTCTGATGTGCCTGCCCTTCTGCCACACTGCTCTGTTTATGCCACGTGTACTCTGTGCCTAATTTGCTATTTTATTTTTGTTCTAGGTTTAGGACATTTATTTTGAAATATTATACGTCTGTATACTTACTGTTGAAATTAAGAACTTAACATTGTGCCACATTGGTTTCAAATTTTTAAAAAATTCTTAAATATCTAAAAACAGTTCAGAGTCACACTTCTCTATCTTTTCTCTAGTTTTCCTTTCTCAGACTTCATTACCACCCTGAAGTAGGAGTGTGTGTGTGTGTGTGTGTGTGTGTGTGTATGTCTCATTAATTTGGTATGTGAAGTAACTACTCTTGTCAAATACAACTTTAAAAGAAAACTTTGTATAACCACTATGAACACAAAACCAGTGCTGTGCACATTAGAAGTCTATGCACAAGGGCAAATTGTATAACCACATTTAGACTTAATGTGCCCTGTACCCCAGCAGATACTAGTGCCCATTGAGATGCAGTTTGAGCCAGGTGGGCAGGGCATGGGACAGAGGAGCGATTCTGTAGCTGAGATTAACCACCCCCACCCCCAGCCAGAGGTCTTGTCTGGGAACTGTGCTGGCTTTGCTGGCTTTGCCCTGCCTAGCCATTGCTCTCTTCTGGCACTTGCCCTTCTCCATACCCACTCTATGCCCTCGCCCTGCCTTCCCTTGCCTTAGAAACTCCTCAAAAAGCATGGCAGAGGGTGAGCCCCCTTCTCAGCCTGCCCCCCAGTAGTCTAGACCACATGCTTCACAACTTGCGTTGCTGCTTGTCTGTGTGTATGGAAATGTGGGGTCATGGTAGGAGGGAGGCAACTTATGCCATGTGATCTCGGCCACGTCCTGCTTCTGAGAGCCTCTGATCGCAGTTTCACAAAGCAGGGTCAGGGGTGGGTACTGTCTAAGGACCCATGTTGGTGATAGAATAGACTGTGCCTTTATCTAGGTGGGGGAATGGCAGATGTGTTCCTCTCTAAAGAAGTGGCTATGTGGGTACCTCAATTTGTGACCCCCCCCCCTCAATGTTTCCTTTCTTTATAGGTAAGAATAAGAGAGTTGGGAAACAGTTAGCTTCTCAGAAAATCCTTCAGCTACTACACCCACATGTCAAGAACTGGGGATCTTTATTGCGCATGTATGGCCGGGAAAGCAGCAAGATGGTCAAACAGGTAATCAGACCTCTCCCAAGACCTAGGGCATGCATCACATTCCCTGACTCAGGAATACACAATTTGGGTCCTGTTGTAAGTAGCTCTGCTGGCCACATCTTTGTGTGTGAGTGTGTATGGGTTGGGGGTGGGGTGTTTATTCTTGGTCTCCCTCCCAGAGTGGTCCTGGGCCTTACTCTGGTTGTATGGGAAGGGAACTGGGGCTTGAGGCAGATCTAAGGGTGAGGCAGGGGTTACAGGTGGAGGGTTACTGGCCCTGATGTGAGGTGAAGGCTGGGGACCTGGGCCCGCTAGTCCATTCAAAAGAGCAGAGAACCCTTGTGCTTTCCAGGAGACTTCAGACAAGAGTGTGATTGAGCTGCAGCAGTATGCAAAGAAGAACAAGCCCAACCTGCATATTCTGAGCAAGCTACAGGAGGAGATGAAGAGGCTAGCTGAGGAGCGGGTGAGTGTGTGAGCCACGCATTATGCTGGCCAGAGCTATGGCCACGGCCCCTCTCCATTCTCCATCTCCTCCCCTCCACCACATTGCAGGGGAAACACTGACCCCTGATGCCCTAATCCTGATGCCCTAATCCTAGGCCCTAGAAAAGCCCCCCTCTACCAAACCCTCAATTCTTAAAGATTACATTTGCTTTTCTTTGAGATTTAGCACTCATGATACTTGTATCAAATCACTTATTTTTAGAGAGCTGGCATTCCTGGTCTGCGATTATAAAGGGCCTGGGTCCAGTCCCACTCGGCCCTGGCCATTTGAGGTCAGGTACAGTACACTAGTTAGGCTTCCCTCACTCAGGGTCACCATGACAAACTTCCACCCTGAACCTCTTCCTCTTCAGGTCCTCAGCAGTTATGTGAAGGGGAGAGCATGATTCACAGAATGATTGAACCCCTTGGTACCTTCAAGCTACCCACTCAAGAAGGGGCTTTTAGGGCTGGATCTTTCTCAGCTGTGCTTTTATACAACCGAGGGCCTGTACCTGTACAAAACCCTGAGAAGGTGGCATCTACTGTTTGTGTCACCTTTCCAGTCCAGCACTCCTCGCTCCTGCTCTTAAGGGTGGTGAGAGACACCTGATTAGTGCCTGAGACCTCCTCATACCCTTCACTTCTAGGTATATGTCCCATTCTGAGGGAAGCATCAGGATGTGATACTCAGTGTTAGTGCCCAAGGAGACCCTTCTCCCAACCCCCGCACCTGGCTTAGTCAGGCCTTCCTTTCTTCTTTCCCACTTGGGAAGGTGCTGAGCATGGTGCCCTCCTACTCCAGAGGCATCAGTTTGCAGGATGCAGCCCCACCCTCTGCCATGCCCCAATCCCCTCCCAGAACCTCTTGCCCAAGGTTGGGCTGCATCTTGTTAGCTTCCCTGACATTAGTTATTCTTCCAGGAGGAGACTCGAAAGAAGCCGAAGATGTCTATTGTAGCATCTGCCCAGCCTGGTGGCGAGCCCTTGTGCACTGTGGACGTGTGAGGGGAACAGTGGGGCTGGGTGCTGCCTGGGAGACCACTACACCACTCAGTGCAGTCTTGGGCCTCCCGTCTTGGTTCCTCCTCTGTGGCCCTGTGTCTGAGGTTGGGCCAGGCGGGTGGGACTCCGGTGCACAGGAACAACCAGGACCATTCAGCTCTTCCTGGGGGGGCGGGGGTGGGTGGGTAGGGCTTGCCCATAGGTGCAAGTGGATGTGTTCAAGGATTGACTCAGCCTGGCTATACAGGTGGAAGCCAAGCTTGGGAGTCAGCTGTGGACCTCTGCTTATATGAACTTGTAGAGTGATTTTATGAAGGTTTTCATGAATTTTAATATGTAACAAGAACTGTGACAAATGATAGTTGGATGACAGATGAAATAAGGAAGTGATTGCTGAAGTCCTTTGACTACCCTGTGCCCAGGCTTCCATGGTCAGAAGAATCACGCTGGCACTGAACTCTACCCTGACTCCTGTTTTCCCCTTTTCTCTCGAGAAAGTTATGAGTTAGGATCATTTCAGACCTTTTTGGTTTAAAATAAACAATTTTAGCATCAAAACTATTTTTCAGAGACTATAGGCAAACCATCAAGGTGATTATTCTTCAGCTTTGAAACATTGCTAGTGTGAGTATGAAGTCTGCCAGTCTCCTGGCTTGTTGCCCTGTCTCTGGGCTGGACTGTGGGGCCATTTTTCTGAGTAAGTCTTCAAGCCCTAAAAACATGCCTTCTTAGAAACTGAGGACCTTGATCTTCCCTGGCCTCCAGCAACTTTTTACTAAAAACTTTTTGCAGTCAAGTTCATCTGTCCGCCCATCAATTTTTAAAGCTTTTATGATATTTTAGCATTTGGAAAGAAACTTTTGCAGTGAAAGTAGAAGATAGATTTGGAATCACGTAGCAGTTATAAATGATTAGTGCATCTTAGCACGTGGACTTATTTGGAAACAACCACCTTCAGTGCAATCTGTCCTTGATCATAAACCTCTTCAGCTATCGTGCTTGTGCAGTGCAGCTGTCCTGCTCCTGGGATGGCTTCACTGGGTTTCAGGGGCAGTGCCCCATGCAGCCAAGCTCAGTGACCCTCTCTTCTGACCAGCATTCTTGTTCCTGTCTTGACCCCTGTGGAAAGGTGCAGGGGACAGTGTGTCCCTGTTGAGTCCCAGGGATGTGGCTGTGCTTGGGAACCTGTGTTGCTCCCAAAGGTGAGGTGGTGGTCAGCATTGGCTCCCTGTCCCTGGTGCCATGTGTTTGTGGCACTGTTACGTTTCACAGGTGTGTCTGTCTCCTGTGGATGGTGTTTGTTTCCAGGAAGATGGAATGCCAATCAGGGCATATCCCTCCCTCACCACCTGTATGACCAAGGTTGGCTTCTGTGTTGACCTTTAGAAAACAAAATGCTTAAATCAAGTTGCTGTAATTAGACACTGCTTCTGTCTTGCCTCCTGTCTGCTGCTATGAATAATCATCTGACCGTGACTGTTTGCCCTTAAAACAGCCAGATGTGCTATCAGGAACCAAAGCTTTGTGGATGTGTTACTAGAGGCCTGTGGGTCTTGCTGTAGACACCTGTGTCCTTTTTTCCCTCTGGCCCATGTGTGGGTGTGAGTGTTGTATGCACACAGCCACCTTGTGGGGGAGAGGGCAGGCAGAGCCTGGGCTGACACCACCTCTGTGCAACCACAGCCTGTCATGTACTTCCCAGGCAGCAGCTGGGCCAAGGTTGTTTTGGGTGAGTCTTGATGGACACATAAAGCAAAATTGTCGAAGAGGGAATGGCTGGTGTTTTTTTCTTCTGTGGGAGGTAGGGTTGGGTGGGCGCTCAGGTTGGAGATAGAATGAAGTCAAAGTCTACTCAGTGCAGAGAACTATACCCTATGGTGAGGAAGGTAGGCAGGGCAGCCCCTTGCCTTATGACTTACCCCACATGTTGACACCCACATCTCAGATTGCTTGGAGTTACATATAAAACCTGACATTCTATTAAACCACCACCACTTCTGGCCCCCAAGAAGGGCTGGGAGAGCTGCCCTGACACCCAGCCTAATTGAGCTGATTCTTGGCTATTCCCAGGCCAGCAGGGTGTTTGGAACCCAAGATTCAGAGTTGTGCCCACCCCCACAGTGTGCATGAAATGCCCCCATCACCTCTGGTGCTGTAGTGGGGGCCAGAGAGGAGCCTATATGCTAACATTCTGGGCTCTCATCACAGACAGAATGGTAGTTCAGTAATTGTTTATTCTGGCCCATGTGGCCCAGCTGGTCAAAAAAACATGGGCGGCTGGGGAAGGTGGCAGGCTCTAGGAGCCCACATAGATGGGCTCCTGGACAAGTCTCATGTCCTCCGAGCATCCTGGAGCCATGCAAGCAGTCAGGGAGTCCCTTGGCCTGTTCCTATAATGCAGAGCAGGCTTTGCTTTAATGTTCTTCCTGCTGTTGGGGAAGGGAAGAGGCGGAGGTCACAGTTTCCTGCAGGGTGTTATCTTGGGGCCCTTTTGAGGGCTGGACTGGAGTTACCAGGACCCCTGCACCATTGGGGTGCTCTGCCCTTTCAAACAAGATGAGCATCTCGCAATGCGGGGTCTGCGGGAACAGGTCCACTGCCACAGCCTTGACTGGCCTGAAAGGGGTGCCTTTCACCCGGTTTGAAGGAGCCCTGCAGAGGCTGATGAGATGTCAAGGTCAGCCAAGCCAGGGCCTCCAGTGGGGTACGGGGTTGGGGGTGGGCCACAGTCCGCCCTAGACCACCTCGCACTCACTCCACGAAGTTGCCCATGGCTGCTCGGGGGTTACAGGAAACATACAGCAGCCGCTTGAGGTTCTCAGCTCTGCGGACGGCAAGGATCACTTTGGAATCTGAAGAGATGCAGAAATGGACTGGGTCTCCAAGGGTGCCATCCAAGGATGGGGTGGGGTAGGTCTGTGGCCATGTAGCCTGGTATGCCACCCAGATACCACTGCCCTCCTCTTCCTGCACCACCCCAACAGGAAGCACTCACGCAGACCGGCACGGGGAGGGTCCAGGATGGCTACAAGCTGCTGGGAAGCCAGTCTGCTCACCAGGGCAGGTACCAGCTCCTCTGCCCTCCCGCAGTGGAACTCCACATTACTCAGCTCTAGAGAGGGCATGGCAGCCCTGTCAGGACACCCAGTCCCACAGAGCCTACCAACTGCCTGATGACCTGTAACCCTCGGCCAGAGATGCTTTTAAGATGATCTGTGGCCTGTTCGCCCTTCATGTTGGGCAGTCCCAGGCATCATGGGCACTCGGTAGGTCCACAGGAGCCCATTAGGATTCATGTGGCTTCCAGGTGATGCCTTGAGGTATGCAGTAGGAATAGCTGTTGCCCCCCAGGGTCCCTTGTCCACTGTGTGGCACTGGCTCTTACCATTGTTGTGGGCATTGATCCGGGCATCCTCCACAGCTTCCTGGCACAGTTCAATCCCCACGACACTCTTTACCTTCTGAAGTGAGGAAGGCACAGACACATGGCACCCTACTGACCCCGGCCCTGAGGGACCTCCTCAGGGAGGGAAGTGACAGAAGCATTGTGGGGAGTGGAAAAGGTTCTGGGACAGGCCGGGGGTTGACCAGTCTTCACACTGGGGGGTCACTAGGATCAAAAGTTGGTGATGGTGCAGGGATGGGTGGGTGGAGAGCGAGCAACTCATCTAGAGTAGGACTCACCGGGGCCAGGGCCAGGCCAATGGTGCCAGTGCCACAACACACGTCCAGTACTGTGCTCTCTGTGTCCAACTGGGCCCAGTCCTGGATGATTGTGTACAGTACCTCAGCTGCCGGGGTGTTCACCTGGAGGACAGATCCCTGCACTGGTCAGCCTTTGCTCCTTTAGTCAGTTCATATCCTCCCCCTGCCCTGTGTCTGCATTCCCTGGGCACTCCTGCTCAGAAACCTCACAGCACAGGCCCCAGCTTCCCAGATCTCCCCCATTCCTTCAGGCCAGTCTTTGGATTGTCAACCTGTAAGATGCTAGGTAACCTCACGTTGGCTTTAAGCAGCAAAATGGACGCCTACCTACTTATAGTAGTAGTACTCCTTCGTGAGTATCAAACTGATGCACTGTAAATTCTACCAGAGCTCACCCCAAATTGCTAGCATCATCCCAAACCCAATGTTCCAGTTACATCCTGACATTAGGTCAGGTCTCCTTCCAAGTTATCCTTCTGACCCCCTAAGGACACTTATCTACCTGGAAGAAGGCGTGAGGGGAGATCTGGAAGGTTAACCCCAGAAGATCCTCATGGATGTATCGGTCCCCAGTCATGTGCTCCAGGGGCAGGCCTTCCTGGCTGGGAGTCTTTCTATGGGTAGTAGGTAGGTTTGTCAGTGTTGTCAGCTCACAGAGGGGCCCACTCCACCCCCACCTGGGTGCCTCACCGCTGTCCTTCCTTCACAAAATAGAGGCAGGTCACCCCACTGGCCTTGCCTGGCCCTGTTACAAAGTATTGTACTAAGGAAGCTTTCAGCTGTGTCAATTCTTCAGAGCTCAGTTTCTGGAGTAAATAGTGAAGATGCTGTTAGTCTGTGCTGAGGTCCACTCACAGCTGGAAATCCCCCTCCCCCCCAACTCCTGTGTGAGACCTGTGTGAGACCTGGGGGTGGAAGTAGGCAATGGCCATGGCTTGCCCTCGGCGGCTGGTGCGCACAGTGAGTTGCTTCCAGTGGCCCGAATATGTCTCTGGGTCATAAGCCGAGTATGGAGTGGACCTGTGGGAGCCATGAGTGAGCAGGACCCACTGACCAGGACTGGGCAGCCTCCCTCTCCTCCCCTCCCCTTAACCACCATCAAAAAACTTCACTCCTGTATACCCCACCCAGCTCCCCCCCACCCCCCACCCCAACTTCTAGGGAGCTCCCAGCCTCTCCTTACCGGATGAATTCCTGGAAGGCCTTCACCACATGCTTCGTGGTCTTGGGGATGTGCATGGTGTCAAAAGGGGGTGCCACAGCACATGTCCCACCCTTGTACTTGCCAAGCCGGCAGCCAACAGTGTTGTCTTCCCCATCCACCCCAACACCAACCAGAAACTCACACTTATTACGATATTCGGTCTGCAGGGAGAGTGGAAGGAGACAAAGACACACCTGACCTTACCCTGGCCAGTGAAAAATGGTGGTAGAGTGAGAAACCCTACTGTCTCATAGAAATGAAAAAATCCAAGGAATGAGACTGGTAACTGACAGGTGATGGGAACCAGAAAGAACAGCAAAACAGGAAAGGATGGGAGGTCAAAGAAGCTTTGTAAAGACAGGATGAAACCTGACCTGCTGGGGTGATGGTCTGACCCCTTCCAGTGGGCAGCAGGCCTTGTTGTGCTTGTGTCTCTGCGAGAGCAGCCAAGGCAACAGGGCCCGATTAGTGTTTCCAATTTCCCTGTAATTGGGCAAGGAAGTTGGACTCAGCCTGATGGTCCCCACCCATCCCCAGCCACTCTCCAAATGTCCTGGCCCTTTTTTGGGAACTCACAATCCCCACTGACAACTCTGACGTCTTCCTTGCCTATCTCAGTGTATTGTATAACACACAGATCACACACTTGGTACCAGAGTACCAAGGGGTACCTGTGCCCAAACTCACTTGGCAAGCTTCTGTAGCACCTGCTCACATTCCAGTCGCTTCCGCTCAAGTTGCTCAGGGTAGGGCACAGTCCAAAGAGGGGTCACTACATCAGCAATGCATGTGGCTGGCGGCTCACTCTCATCCTCAAGTCGCCTTTTCTTGGCCATTGGGTCAGCTTTGGGCCTAGCCAGGCGCACACTGAGTGGCCGGCCCTTCCAGAGGGCACCGTGCAGCACACGAAGGGCTTTGTCCCGTTCAGCAGCATTGCGGAATGTCACAAAAGCACAGGGGGGTTGCCCAAAGAGCTTGGTCTTATGGGGCTGCAGGCCAAAGCGGCTCAGAAAGCGGCGGACATCACTGAAGCTGGCATGGCGGGGTACGTTCTGCAGTTCTAGTTTGAAGATCTCTGACGTGAACAGGTCATCTCTGATATAGCTGTAGGGACCAGGCTGAGGCCCTAACTCCGCAGCTGCCCGGGGCCTCTCTTCTTCCTTCTCTTCCTGGGGGGCCAGGAATGCAGGGCTAACCAGGGCACTTCTGTCCTGTTCAGAGCCTTCCACTGGACCCTGGGCCTGTGTGGAGAGGGGCAGGGGTTGGGTTGAGTGCTGGACCTTGGACCTGAACCATTCACGATCCCTCACCCTCACCTAGATCTCCATCCATCAGCGCACCTAAGACCCATCTCACCCCTTTCTGTCCTCATTCTCCATATTCCCTCTCCCATCTCATGCCCCATCCCCGTGTTTTCACCTAGGGGTTTAGAGCCAATCCCCTCCACCCCATCCCCATCTCCGTTCGAAATCTCCCATCGAGATCTCCCTTCCCTTTACTTCGTTGTCGAGATTATCACTCATCGTCCGGTCCGTCTGCAGCCTGGTCTCGGACACCTAGAGAACCACCTCCGCCACCTCGTCCTGGGCCTGGCACACGGGAGGGGCTCAGAGAGCGGGTGAGATGCGGCAAGACCGATCCCTCCGACCAATACACCCCCAGCACCCCCGGCTCAGCCACTGGGTGGGACGGGACTCGAACCCTCGGTGGTCAGGTCCAGATCTTGGACATGGGCTGTACCGCCCGCCCACCAGGGTCCCGCGCCGATCGCTCGCTTCGCCGACAGCTTTCACGTCTGCGAGAGCGTGCAGCTAAGGGCGCGCGACTCTATCAGCTTGGCTTCCGGTGACGTCATAGCCACGCGCCCTCTCCTATCCCCAACCCCATTTGCGAGTTCGAGGGGCGTGAGTAGCCGCAGAACGGAAGTGCGCGCAAGGGCCGCCGGGAGTGCTCGCTCCTCTGGCTTCGGGGCGGGCCGGGCATGCGCCCCGGGCGTTTTGGCGGGAAGCGCGGGGCAGGCTGGACAATGAGAGTGTCCGCCGCCTGAACTAATAAAGCTGCACAGGTTTTGAATCGCGGCGCGTTTCCCGCCGCCGGGGTCAGGGGTCGTGGTTCGGGTCGCGGGGCGGAGGGAAGAGCAGGCGGGCGGAGGCGCCGGCGCCAGACGCGGAGGAAAGGAATACGACTTGCCGCCGAGAGGCCGCGGAGCCAGCGACGACCGAGCCACCTGAGTCGCCGCCGCTGCCGCGCCCCCATGGCGGCCGCCAAGGTGCGGCCGGGCCGGGCCGGGCCGGGTACTGGGCGGGTGCCCGAGGGGCCGAGGCGGCTATCGGTGGCCACGTGGGCGGCCCGCGCCACCGCCACCAACCCCCGCTGGCCTTGTGGGCTCGACACCTGAGGGGCTTCGGTAGTGAGGAATCGGGGCTTGTGGGGAGCGCGGCCTGGGGGCTCGAGGCCTTCGGGCCCTTGGCACGCGGGGTAGGGGGGCGCGGGCTTGGGCCCGGGGGCTGCAGTGCGCTGGGGTGACCTTGGGGCCGCCTCGGTGGGCCCGGGAGGGAGCTATATCGCGTGGACCAGCCACTCGAGCTTCTTAGTCTAGAGTAGACTTCACTGCTTGGTTGGGACATGGGGCCCCTCGGTCAGTTTCCTCCGGCTCTGCCCACTTGCCGGTTTCCTACCCAGACGGCGCTACCCCACTTTGGTCGTCTACGCAGCACTTCATTCATGCTGCACTCGAGACTCAACCACCACAGGCCCCAGAAGCGGAAACTGGGCAGACCGGTCCTGTACTCACCGACCCAGGGTGGGAGCGGGTTTGTTGGCTGGAGATGTCTACTGGGGTGAGCTGGCTGATCCGCATTGCTGTTCAACCGAGTGAACCAGCGTAGAACATATTTTTTTCTTTTTTTAATTGAGTCGTAGTGAAGTCTCAGGGTTTCTTCTGGATTTGAAAATCACCAGGCCACGTGTTTTGTAGTACTTGGACCTGAAATGTGATCCTTTGTGCTCCGTATTTCTCTGAATTGGATCGTAGTTTTTTAGCTTATGTTTGTATTTCTTTTGGCAGCTTAATCATCCCTTCAGTGAAAAAATCGACAGAACTGTGAATACCGTGTAAATAGCAGAGCAACCGGTACAAACTCACAAGGTTGCTTTAAGAATAACACTCCTTGAGGCCCTCTTCTATCTGTCAACGTGTCCTTTAATCTTCATGCACAGTATTGATGGAGTTTTGTAGAGTGCTGGCTCCTAGGGTTAACTCTGGAAAGGTTTCACCAGAGCTCACGTTTCTGTGGCGGTATTGATATTTAAAGAGCAGATTTATTAGAAAAGGGATAGGATAGTAAAAGACACTTGCATAGACACAAGTGGGCAGGAAGAGCTGCCCCAAAAGGGACAGGCTTGCTGAGAGGCCTGCGTGGTTGCAGGCTGGCGGCTTTGAGGAGACCTGCCTCCCCTGAGGGAGGTCAGTGAAGAGAAGCCTGGGCATGGGACAGGTCAAGGGCAGCCAGGGAGGTGCTGCCCTGCAGAGGGAAAGAGTTGGTGAAAGGAAGCACCTGCATAGTCACAGGTGGGCAGATGGACTGCTGCCTGATGTGAAAGCTTCATTAGGTTTTATCTTCTTCAGGGAGGGGCTCATCTTTGTGGGTGGATGGCTTGTGCCCCTATAGCAGTCTGATAGTTTCTGGATGTTGCTCCAGATCTGGGCATTGATGCCTAAGGGTCTTGGTTTCTATAACTGGGTTAATGGATTATGCTAATCCCGTCTACCCCTATTCTGTGCGCGTGCGTGCGTGTGTGTGTTGGGGGGGGGGTTCTTGACCTTGTATCTCCTTTCCAGTTTTTCTGTTCTTACTCTCCATCAGTATCATCATCCACATTTTAACATAGAAGGAAACTGGGGCTCAAAGAGGTGAGGCAGTTCCTTTCAGACCACTCCACCTCTTAGGTGGCCAATTTTTAAGATCTTTAGTTTGTACAGATGTGATTGATGTGCCTGCTTCTGCTAGAGGGTGCTGAGGTACAGTGCCTCAATATAAGCCCGTTCTTTGGAGTTGACTTTGGAACACACCTTTCCTGGTATCAAAGGCTAAAAGCTTAATACTTGCTTTGGGGTGAGGCCATTCACTATAGGGGATGCTGGTTTTGGACAGGATTCATGACCAGCAGTCACCCTTCCACACTCTCTCCACAGGACACCCATGAGGATCATGACACCTCCACCGAGAATGCAGACGAGTCAAACCACGACCCCCAGTTTGAGCCTATAGTTTCTCTTCCTGAGCAAGAAATTAAAACACTGGAGGAAGATGAAGAGGAACTTTTTAAAATGTAAGTAAACTGATGTTGCTCCACAATTAGGTATCTTTTTGAAGTTGTTAGGGCTTTTATGGATTCCTTGGGTTCCTGGCCTTTAATTGGACCGAGGCTACGTGAAGAAAGGACCTGGAATTGTGTAAAGACTGCTCCCACATGGAAATCAAGGCTGCTGTTATAATCTGTATAGTCTATAGCTTTTTCCTGAATGCCTCTGCTACGCTTTAAATGGTACAGGTGCTCCCTGGTGCCCTGTCACTGTTGCTCTGTCCACAAGTGCACATTTCCCTAACTCAGGCCCTTTGCCTCTACGACTCCCACAACCCCTTTTGGTTGAGCCGGGAGTCTTAGCCACTTAAGTTTTACTTTCGAACTGTGGGCTTTTTTGGCAGCCTTAGGCATTTTTGAGTTCTTAATGTGCAAGCATTGCAGATAAAACAGGTGGTGTTCAGGCTTTCATGATTTTTTAAAAATTACGTTTCTTGACCATCTTCAGAGCAATGCTGCAGTGGGGGTGTCACTTTGAAGCAGTTCCTCACAAGCCATGTGTCCAGGTATCTCTGAAAAAAAAATCACAGTAACTCCAAGACTGTGGGTTGTTGTCTACACTCAGTCACGGGAAGTGCCAGATTCAGTTATCCATCAGTGGGTAGGTTGTAGCATTTTCCCTGCCCAAGCTCATGAACTTCCCCATGCCCCTTTCAAATTCTACTCAAAATGCCAGGTTAAAATTTGAGTGCTTCTTGGCAGGGATGTTGGTGAGCAGAGATAATCATCAATGCTGTGACTGTCCCTCTAAGGAAGCCTAGAGTAGGAAAGAAGAGTTGCACGTGCCATTTGTTCCCAAGATTGATGGGCATCTCCCTGGGTGCTGCAGCCAGGGAGTGGAGGCCTCCTGCAGTGAGAATTGCTCATGTGGCTATTGTTATCTCCCTGGCCACATGAACTGGAAATGTTCTGTGTGTCCTAGACACAGGCCCTTCCCTTCCTCAGGGAACTGAGGCTGGCAGGTCAGCCCCTTGGGCACCCGGTCATAATCTCCTTTCATAGATTTGAATTTGGGAGTGGCAGCAGAAAAAGGACCAGCAAAATTGGGCTCTTGTGGAGAATCAAAGCAGGTATAGTTGTTGGGGAATGCGGAGCATCCACCTGAGCTGACAAGACTGTGAGGTTCACTGGTAGTGGTTCCTTGGTGCCCTGTGGGACTTGACGCCTGGCCTAAGCTCAGTGTGGGGTACTGCTCTCAGTTGGAAGGTAGGCTGTGGGGTCAGAGCCTGGTGGCCTGAACAGAGGCCTGCAGTCTTCTCTTTGAGTGGGGGCCAGAGAGGGATGGGTTACAATTTTCAGCTGAGAGAAGGGCTGCCCTTTTTTCCTATGGTGACAGGGGTGCACAAGTTGTGCTCATGTGGGCTTCTTTAATGAGAGGTCAGATCTTTTTGTTGGGAAAAATGTGGCAAGTACAGAAATCTTTTTTTGTGGGGAAGTAAACACTTGGAATTTGTTGGGGTGTTTTGCTCTCTTAGTGACTTGTTTGTAATATACAGAAAACAAGTGTGCTTTATAATGGGTTTTTGACTTGCTCCTTTTTCTGTGTGTTGTCTAAACTTTCGATGGCTTTTCTTGAAGGCGGGCAAAGCTATTCCGATTTGCATCAGAGAATGATCTCCCAGAGTGGAAGGAGCGAGGTACTGGTGACGTCAAGCTCCTAAAGCATAAGGAGAAAGGGACCATCCGCCTCCTCATGAGGAGGGACAAGACTCTGAAGATATGCGCCAACCATTACAGTAGGTGACCTGTCAGGTGTGGTTTCCTCTGAGTTCCAGAACTCTTGCACTGGGACATTGTAGTCCCTTGGGCAGGTTGATTTCAGGGTTGCATGAATGCCTGGGAGTGTATTCTATCCCAGAGCACTTTTTTTTTTTTTTTTTTAAAAAGATTTATTTATTTATGCGTACAAGAACTGGGGTACAGGCCAGAGGTATGGAGGTAAGAGGATCCACCAGAGACAGAGTGGGGAACAGAACAGACAGATTGAAGTACACTGCTGAGGGGAGCAGTGGCAAGCCAGGAGAGGTCTGCTGCACCATGTGGGTAGCTCCCTGGCCAGGGATTGACCTCGTGCTGCAGTGGCCGTGGACAGCTTCATAGGTTGCATCTTAACCCCTTGCACCACCAGGGAGGCCCAGCACTTATGTTTTTTAATTTAAAACAGATGAACTTTTCCAGCATGCTACTGAAGTCAGAGCAGTTCTGCAGTAGCACATGTGGAGTGGCATCCAGTGAGACAGAAGCTGGTGTGATGGATGCAGAGCCCTAGTGTGGGCTAGGAGGAGTGGATGTTTGCTTCAGAGCAGGGCAGTGTTGGGAGGGCATCTGTGAGCAACCTTGACATCGTGCATATGTGTAAAGTACCCGGGTGCTGTCTTTCTTGTACTTTGGTGCTTTCAGTTCCACAGGATGGCCCCTGGGGAGAATATGGAGGGAGTGAGGTGGAGAAGGTGGCTACCTCAACCTTAGGTGCCTCTGAAATTGCACATGGGGTGGTGGTGGTGGGTGCGGGCCCTGCGACTGGTGTGATTCTCTAGCCCTAGGCTCATCCTGCAATGCAGTGACAGTAAGTTCCCTGCCACATTGATCTCTTGGCTTCTGGTTGTCTGCAGTGCTTTGAGTATGTCTTTGGAAGTGAAGGTGTCCTGGGCTTCTTTCCTGATCCAGTGTTGTGCACTTCTGGATATAATGCCTGCTGGGCAGGGCAGGGCATCAGAGTGTAATGACCCTTGACGGTAATTTGGAAGGATTGGCGGGTTTGCATAGGTCCCGATGTGGGGATGCAGCCTAGTACAGTAGTCCCCACATGCCAGCCTAATTTGCTTCCTTAGGAGCTGCTTCAGCAGTCCTCCCCTCCATCAACCTGGCCTGGTCCTCCTTCTCTAGCCCGATTTGAATCTTCTCATCCGGAGTATTCCTCTCAACACCCTTTGTTTCTCCCAGAGCCCCCTCAGGAAGCTGGTTTGTTTCTGTGTTGGTTGTAAATGTACACATAGTCCTTGATGGACAGGGTGGGTGGTAGTGGGAAAAGGTCGTGGCACTTTTTGTACCATGGTAGCAGCCCTCAGGCTTGCCAGGAGACTGGAGTGACTACTCCCAGTTGATGGGGCTTTGGACTGCCCATATCTTCAGAGACCTCTGCCAGGAATTCAAGGGCACATTGTTGGGCCTGGCACTGGGGATGCTCCTGTTTTTCCAGGATCACTTGTTCCCATGTGGTCTGAGGAAATGGGTGTGGGTAGTTGTGCTTAGTCCAGGTCATGGTGCCTCTTCTGGTGAGCTAATCCCTCGTGGACCCCCATGTCACCCCACTTTCCTGCTTCCACCTCTGCTGCCTTTACCTCCTGATGGCCAGGGTCCCTAGTGGGACCAAGTATCTACACAAATATGTCTGCGGTACCTTTTATAGGAATGGTTGGGGGGCCTCCCTAGTGAGCTAGGGGGTTAAGTCTCAGTACTATCACCAGTATGGCCTGACTTCAATCCCTAGCCAGGTGCAGCAGACCTCACCCATCTTGCCTGCTGCTCCGCTTAGCAGTTTATTTCAGTTAATCTGCCTGTTCTGCTCCCTACTCTGTCTCTGGTGGATCCTCTCGCCCCGTGCCTCTGGCCTATTCCCCAGTTCTATGCAAAAATAAATACATAAATACAAAGAGGGTTGGGTCCACTTGACATTGGAACCCTTGTTGGAGTTGAGATTGGAACCCTGGGGTGTTCTTGTGGACAAGAAGCAGGCCACCTGTTTTCCAGGTTCAGGGTTTCTTGATGTGGGGCATTTTCAAAGAGATTTAGATAAAATCCAAATTCCTGAGGTCTCGGGGTTTAGGCCTGGTGGGCACACGCCACCTCACATCTGTTTGAAGTGGGTCTGTGACCAGGGTATGGACAAGCCTGTGGCATTTGCACCACATTTACAGGGCTTTTCTCCCCCAGTCACACCAATGATGGAGCTGAAGCCGAATGCAGGCAGTGACCGAGCCTGGGTCTGGAACACCCATGCTGACTTTGCTGATGAGTGCCCCAAGCCAGAGCTGCTGGCCATCCGCTTCCTCAATGCTGAAAGTAAGCAGAGGGCTGTGGCCCCCTCATTTATGTTGTCATGGTATAACTGCAGGCAGAGATTCTGTTCCTTTTTTGGAGAGCACTGACAGTGACCTGGTATTGGTAAGGAGTGTCTTTGCCCCACTGTCTAGGGGCCCCTTGAGGAAGGGTTTCAAGTGCAATGGAGCCATGTGCCTTCAGGGACCACACCTAGGCTTTGAAACCATGAACAGAATATTTCATTCTTCACCTTAAAGGTGTCAGCCTGTCTGACCAGGGTGGGTCCTGTCACTTGAGTGCCAGCAGGGGCTGTGCTGCACAGACCGCACTGAACCTTTCTCCTACTTGGGCCTCATTCCAGCCAGGAGCAACAAAAGCTATACTGGATAGGTTGTGGAGGAACTGGGTGTGTGCCAGGGCCCAGCACCCAGGCATCGTTATATGCTGAGTGGGTCTTTGCTCTGGAAAAGGCCTATGGAGTGACTTCTTTCCATACAAGTGGAGTGCAGAGTGCTGGCTGCTTGGTTGCCTAAGGTCTCTGCTCCTCTGCCCAAATTGTTGCAAAGTTACTTGGAGGGAGAGGTCTAGCATAGCTATCATCCTTAACATTATATAATTGTAACATTTATATAACTCATAACCTTGGAATCATTTAATTTATTCTTTATATTAAGTCCGTGCTATGTACCTGCCCTGTTGTACTGGGGCAGTCAGGGCTCACAGGCCAAACCTGAGGAATGTAGTAATCACATGATCAAATCCAGAGCTCTGTCAAATGAAATGAGATAAAAAATGGCCATGGAATGGTTCTTTTGTGTATGTGTCTCTTCAGACTTGCCAGGACATGTCACCTACAATGCTTGGGGTTCTTAATTCTCTCTTTTTTTTTTTTTTTTTTTTTTAAAAGATTTATTTATTTATTGATTGATTGATACATACAAGCACTGGGTACAGTTAGAAGCGCGGGAGGGAGAGAGAATTCACCAGAGCCAGAGCGGGGAGCAGAGCAGGCAGAAGGACTGAAGTACACTGCTGAGGGGAGCAGCGGGCGGCAGGAGAGGTCTGCGCGCCATGTGGGACCCTCCTCCCGAGGCCGGGGAGCAGCCGGGGATTGAACCGGCGCTGCAGAGACTGCCGGCAGCTTCCCAACCCAGCGCTCAACCGCTGCGCCACCGGGGAGGCCCTTAATTCTCTCTTTTTTCCCCCCCCTGCAGATGCACAGAAATTCAAAACAAAATTTGAAGAATGCAGGAAAGAGATCGAAGAGAGAGAAAAGAAAGGTGATGTGGCTCCTCTGGTGGGGGACTTTATTGCAGACTCACTCTGTACCCGGCTGCAGCCCCAGGCGGGTGCTTTTTTCGTCTGCTACAGAAACATTCTGGGTGCTGTGACCACCTTGACCTCTGTCAAGGGTGATGTAGTTGCCTGGGACACAGGGAGCTTTCTGGGGAGTGAACCTGCAGTTGGAGCCCCAACCATGTGCTGATTAGTCTTATAGTCAAGTCATGAGGCCTTCGCTTGTGCACCCTAGGCTGAAGGGGCCTTTGGAGGTCCTTCTGGGCGCCTGCTAGCACGTGACCTGCACACTGAGCAGCCTTACTGACTGCATCCTGGGTGTGAGCACATTTCCCTGGGCGACCCTGCAGGTGGCCTGTCCCGTGGAGGTCACTGGGTTTCATGGGAGGACGGGTGGAGGGAAGGGGTGGATTTGCTACGGGGTGACTAATAAGGCAGCACTTTCTGTGCTCTTACTGAGTCCTGGTGTTCACACAGGATTGGGCAGAAACGATAATGCTGAGGAAGTGGTGGAAAAGCTGGAGGCTCTCTCTGTGAAGGAAGGGAGCGAGGAGCTGGGCGAGGCGGACACCAAGGAGAAAGCTGAGGACAAGCAATAAGTCGTCTCCCTTGTTTTCCTTCCCTTCTTTCTTTCCCTCCTTTTTTAAAAATTTTTGCCTTGCCCCTCTTTGGTTTGTTTTTATTCTGTTTTGTTTTTACAAGGGACTTTATATAAAGAACTGAATTCCAACATTCAAGTTGTTTTTCTAAGTTTTTGCCCTCTTAAAGATGACTACAGAAAATCCATTCCCCAGTCATGGAAATGTACTGTGCTGACTTCCTTTTCCATAGTGGAAACATTTATAGTCATCAAAATTAGTGAATAAACAACACATTTTAAACCTGCATGGAGGGCAAGCCCGTGTGTGTTGACCCTGTCTCAGGAGCAGTGTGGGTTTCTGCTGACTGCAGGGGTGTTCCTTTCCTAGCTCAGTACCTTGTGTGTGGTCTGGTGGGTGGGTGCTCCAGGTCAAGCCTTGCCATCACACTTGGTCTGCAACTTTGGGGTTCTGTGTTCTCTCCTGCTGTGGATTTTGGGCTCCTGTTGGCCCCTCCAGCCATGGTGTCTAAGCTGGGAATGTGAGATCTTAGGTTGGGCAGGGGAAGCCCTCTTCTGTTCCTCCTGTGACTTATGTCCATTTTAAACAATGTGTCCTTGATTCCTTTGGTGGGTGTACTTCCAAAGGAAGCTCTTGTTTTAAAAAACAAAATGAAGGTAGGGATCTCCTGTAGTGCTCTTGACAAGTCAGCAGTGGTGCAGCAATCCTTCCCACTCCGGAGGGATGTAGAAGCTTGTATACCACAACCACCTTGCTGAATTGGAACTTTGGTGCTCTGAATGGCAGGAGTTGCACCATGTGCTATGTACCGGGCCAGTGGGTACCAGTCTGTTAGATCTATAGACATAGAAAGGCTGTGTCCAAGGGGCTTGGTCCTCTAGTGAAAGGCACTCACACCCCTCAGCATAGAGTAATTCTTTGCTTTGGACTCTAATACAAGATAATTCCACTGATGTAAATCCCAGACTGATAGACTTCTCCAGAAGGAGATGTTTTGAAGGCGGAAAATCCTGACAGCAAGGAAGGCTGGAGACAGCTGTGCTGTGACCAAGGTGCATGTAAGACATGACACTGCAGGATGTGCTGTAGGAAAAGAAACCCTAGCCACTGCATTTGCATGTGGGCTCCCTGTGGCACAGAATTGAGGTGCTATTGGAGATGAAGTGGGAAATAAGTCATGGCCTTTTCATTACAACCAAACCTTCATTCAGCTGGGCTGAAATCTGGAAAAGCTTTCTGCTGTTTTCCTTTCCTGCTCCTGGGCTGTGGGCTCATCAGCAGCAAGAAGCAACCTTGGCAATGAGGCTGCATGGCCTCACTTATCTGCCCCACTTAGACCCACAATGCCCTGGCAGAGAGACATCAAGGAAGCACCATTGCCTTTTCTTCCTAGAACTTGGATTGTTCCACAGCTGAACTATCCTTACACCCCTACACAGAGCTAGGCTTAGAGTCAGATGCAGCCTAAGGGTGTGTTGCACTGGGGTTGACTGCTAGGCAAAGCCGTACCTGAAGATTGGGTCTGTATTCAGGCAATGTGGCCAGATGCTTCTGGGGACTTGGAGCATCTGTGCTGGATAGAAGGGTAGAAGCAAGGGTGAGGCTGCTGTGCGGTACCATTTCTCTGGCCTCACCTTCAGTCCCTGCGGACAGTTTGTGAGAATCCTGGACCTTGTGTCACCTACCTGAGGGCTGTAGCAGCTTGGGTAGTTTAAGGGCAGGAATGATGCAGAGCAGGTTTTCTGATCCAGCAGACCGGGTAAAGGAGGAGTCCTGGAGCCCTCAGTGGCTTTTGCAGGCTTTTATTGGGATTACCAGGTACGTGGCAGGCAGTTGGTGCTGGGGGCCGGGAGGCTGGCAGTCCTCCCAGCCCCCAGCAAGTCTTCACGCTGGGCTCTCCGGCCTTCTCTCACGTTTTCTCTGCCCTTCTCATGGCTCTGCTTTTCTCTCGGCTTCTCTGCTCCTTCTATTTGTTCTCTGCTTCTTCTGGTGTCTCCATGATGCCGCCCTTATAAGCACAGTCTTAGACCAGGTGAATCCTATCTACATATGCCCACACCCTATTCCAGGTGCCCGCCATCAGGCATGCATTCAGGACTGCAGGGTTCCGTCATCAATCCTAATGGCTGGAGGGCAGAAAAGCCTGATACTTTTACCTTACCCTACAGGTAGAAATAAGGTGTCTGCTCCAGGTGGAGTCTGCTCTTCACTCACCTTTGCGCTGAGTCCTCTGTGGCATCAAGCGCCTCAGTGCTATTGCTTCTAGAGTGGGTACCCGAAAGGGTAGAGGTTACAACTAGGGTGTTGTGGGAGAAAACCCCTCACCATTTCTGCTGTCAGAACAAGGCAAATATGTAAGCAAGGAGCAAAGAGGGGCCTCCAGGCCAAGAAATCCTAGAACCTGTGGCAGTGAGGCCCCAGGAGGAGGTGGCCATTGGACGCCACAGGTTCTGGCCTTGGAGGAACAGATGCCTAGGGTCTGGAAGTGCTGCTCTATAGGGTCCCTGCCAGGAGAGAGGGCTAGTGGATCTAGATTTTAGAGCAGAGAACCTTGGGCATGTTGGAGTAGCCAGGGTCAGAAACCTTTGCTGGCCCTGACTGGTAGGCTGTGGAAATTGACATGAGGTGTGAGGTGCTAGCTAGCACCACTATCCAGGCCAGGCTGCAGGACAGCAAGTCTGCTAGTCCACCTTAAGTGGCAGAGGCTGCTGCACAGATGGGTGGGATTTCCTGCAGGAGGTGCCTGTCACCCGCCTATCCTAGGCAGGGGCAGGTTGCCCAGCACTTTTCCAGGGACACTCCACCCTTCCTCTGAGAAGTTGAGGGGCTTGCCTGGCATCCTTGATTTTCCCAACCACATACACTCCCCCGAGTCTGCTGCGAGGGCCAGACCACGGATGTGCCGGTGTCCTCCTTATCCCCCTTGCCATGCTTATTAGTTGGCTGGGCCCAGCTGTGTGTCCTGAGGCCTTGAGTGGGAAGGCGCTAACCATGGTGTCCCTGCAGTTTCACATATCTCCACGTTCCTGATTGCCAGAGTGAGGTGTGCTCCAGATGTGGGGGACATGACACAGAGCCCAGGGACTTTAGGGAAGGTCTTTAGTCGGAGATCTTCAGGGAAATGTTCGAATAGGCCATGGAAACAACTGGAACTTGCGCCAGGACCTTCGGCCTGGTAACGGGACCTGGCCTTCCGTTGGCGCCTACCCGGTGGGCAGGGCCGCGGGCACTTGCCTGACCCATCCGCGGGTCCAGAGTGTGGCACAGACGTCCACGGGCACTGGCACGCCAGGACCCCCACACCAGGACGCGCGCACGGAGCCCCGGCAGCGCGCAGGGCAGGGCGGGCGCATGCGTGGTCCGTGGGCAGGGAGGGGCCGGGTGCGTGGGCGCGGAACTCCGCGTCTCCGCGCCCCCTTGTCGACCGGTCCACCTTAAGGGGCGCTCTGACATCAGCGCGCCGCCGCCGCCCGTGGGGTGGGATTTCCTCCGCCACAGCCGCGGGTCCTGCGCCGCGTTCAGCCCGCCCTGCCCGCCCCGGCCCGACCCCGGCCGGCCCCGCCTGCCCGGCCTCGGGGAGGGATGCGGCGGCGCGGCGCCCAGGATGCCCCGCAGCCCCGGGACGCGCCTCAAACCCGCCAAGTACATCCCGGTGGCTACGGCCGCTGCGCTGTTGGTCGGCTCCAGCACCCTGTTCTTCGTGTTCACGTGAGTCCGCCACTCGCTGGGGGCCCTGGCGGCCCAAAGGGGCCTGGATTAGGGGGCGGTTCAGCTAGAGGGACTGAGGTCCAGGGACCCGCAGGCAGGTAAGGGCGGGACTGGCACTAGGACTGCCGGGGGCCACGTGAGTCACCACCCTGAGGCCAAAGCCCTGAGCTTGCCCACCCTTAGGCACCAGACACGGGTGAATCCTGCGTGGGGGACACTAGTTCCTGGCAGGCCCTCCTGAGTGTCCCTGAGTGTGAGGCGCTGGCCTTGGGCAAGGGAGTGTGTGCAGTAACTTACCAGGGTGTGGCTGCAACCTCCCTCTCCTCAAACTGTGAGGGACCTGGGCTACTCAGAGCCACCAATACTACCTGCAAGGAGCCCTGAGGTCTGCTTTGGGATCCCCTCCAGGCAATCTGGCTTTGGTCCAGAGTCTAGTTGTTCCTATGCAGGTGTGGCCTGGCTTGGCTACCGTGTGCCTGCCCACAGCTTGCCTGTTATGTTTGCCTGGCAGTCCTGTCGACAATCCCTTGACCTACCTCTCAGGAAGGCCGGTTGGTTGCAGCTGGAGGGCCCCAGCGGGGCCAGCAGCCATGGTGAGCTCTGGGACCCTTGAGGTGGAGAGCATGCCAGGTACTAGGCCTGTGCAGCCTGAGCTTGCCCTGTGACACCAGCTGGCTCACAGACCTGAGTGTTGAGTGGCCTGACATGCTGAGGACACAGCTCCTTGTTGGTGGTTCTGCCTCCACTCCCAGGGCTCCTTCAGGCATGAAGAAGGGTTAGGGGCTCCAGGCTTCAGCCATATGGATCTGCAGTCACTTTCCACAATTCTGAGATACAGTCTAGGTGACCACAGCATGACCACTCAAGCCTTTCTGGAGACCTACAGTCTGGGGTGACTGTCGCCTGCAGGGCCTCTATTACCAGGCAGTCAGCCTGAGTGTGAGCAAACCTAGAGCAGGTGTGGGCATGAGCCAGCTCGGCAGCCTGTCACCTTAGCAAGAGTGAGAGTGGTGGCTGTGTGGACGGTGAGTCTGTATTGGGCGCCTGTGGAGGCCGGGGAGGGGTGGGTACCACAGGCTGCCAAGAACATGTTTAAAAAAGGCCTGTGTGGATGGGCTTATTTCTGGCTTTGGTGAGCAGGCGTGTTCTTGTCACTCAAATGTTGCGGGCTGTGGGGCAGAGAGAAGCGGGGTAGGTGGGCAGTGGATGCAGGCTGAGAGGGACATGTCTTGCTGGGTCTTCAGTCCTAACTCTGGGCTGAGGTGGGTGCTGGGGGTACGGGTGGGGTGGACTGATCTGAGCTCTCCAATGTGGCTTCTACTTGCCTGTCTCAGTTTTTCACTGCCCAAGTGCACTTCAGTTTTTTCTCCTGATTTTAAAAGGGCACATTCTTTATTGAGAACTTGTAAAATGCAGGAAATTTTTTTTTTTAAAGAAATCATTTTCAAAAATCAATTCTACTCCAAAGAGCTGGGCTGTCGCCTCTCCTCCTAGAGTTACCTGGCCCTCCATAGCCTGATTGTCGTGAGCCCTTCTTGTGAGTTCAGAGTTTCCTTACACGCTGTCCTGTGACTTTGACCTGCCACCCACAAGTGGTGGGTGCTCAGACTGTTCTACCCTGCTGGGGTAGATGGGGGTGCAGCTTGTCCTTCCTCTGTTCTCACAGCTGGGTTCTGGATTCAGGGACTCTGGCACTGTGAGGTGCAGGTTCTCTTGAGGCACCACAGGCCATTCCCTGCCCCTTGCCCTGCATATGATCCACTCAGCCTAAGAGAAGATGCCTTATGTGCCCTGTGGCAGCACAGAGGACCAGGTACAGCCACTGTCAAGCCAAGAGAGCCTTGCATCCCCTGGGGACCTGGTTCCCCCACACCCTAATACCATATTCCCTGGGCTCTGGCTTGCCCCCACCTCACCTCTGCTGGGTTCCTGAGAAGGGCTCTGTGAGTTGGGCCAGGCCCATTAGTGCCCCCACAGCTTGGCAACTGAAGGAAGAAGGGTCCAGACAATCCCCTTCTGTGAACAGGCCTCTTGTCACTCAGCACCCACACTTCCGCTCTATTTCCAGGCCCAGGCCCAGGCCCATTATAGATTGACTTGTGCTCAGGAGGGAGCAGCTTGTTCCTGTGCCCTCCTGTCCCACGTAGGTCTCCTCTGTTATCTGCCTCTACACCTTTGATGTCACTGGACTCTGAGTGGCCCAGGCCCCCTCACTGCACTTAGTAAACACCAGTTACCCTCTTCAGGGAAAGTCCTCACAGGGTGCAGATCTAGGGGCCTAGAGGATCAAAGACCCTACCTTAGGTCAGCACTGAGGGTTTGGAACTAGCAGGACATTCAAACGTGACCATTAAAAGCTGGAGCATGGAAAGGACCCTGGAGGTGAGGACGGTGTGCACCACAGGGCAGGTTCCCAGCAGCCTTCCTCCTCCAGGAAACTTTCTGAGTTCCTGGTGAGGTCATGTCCCCCTGTACCACAGAAGCCCTTCATACTGTGGTTCAATGCCAGGTGCTAGAAGGGGGTCCAAGGGTCACCAGTCCTCCACCCCTTCCCTTTCCTCTGCTCAGAGCCATTTTGCGGAATGATGGGGACCCTGAGAACATCAGAGGGCCAGGAAGCTTGGTTGATCGCAGTGCCTGGGGCTGGACTGGGCCATTTTGTCTCTGTCCCAGTTCCTGTGGGCAGATTTCTGGGATGGCACAGCTGGTCTCCAAGATGGACCTGAACACTCCCAAGGCACAGCCCGGGACAGCAGGAAATACAGCCTGTGACAGGCCCAGGGAGACAGAGCCACTGGCAGTGGCTGCATAGAGCGGGATGGGATGCATCTGGCCTGGGGGTATACCTGGTCTTTTAAACCCCAGTTTTCTCTTCTGCTCAGGTATCTGCAGGGATCAGGTGGTGGTGGTGGGGATAGGCTTCTTGTGGCCAGAGCCCTTACCCAACCTGACCAGGACAGAGTGGCTCTGCAGCCACTAGTCCCAGATACCCCTGCTGGTGAGTGCCACTCTCAAATACAAAACAGTGCTACTGAAGAACCCAATTTGTTTATTTATTTATTGATTGATTGATTGATTGATTGTTAAGGATTTAATTATTTATTTATACAAGCACTGGGTACAGTCAGAGTGCGGGAGGGTGAGAGAATTCACCAGAGGCAGAGCGGGGAGCAGAGCAGGCAGACTGATGAAGTGCATTGCTGAGGGGAGCAGCGGGTGGCAGGAGAGGTCTGCGCACCATGTGGGACCCTCGCCCAGCGGCTGGGGATTGAACTGGTGCTGCAGAGGCTGCTGGCAGCTTCGCAACCCAGCGCTCAACTGCTGCGCCACCAGGGAGGCCCTGAAGAACCCAATTTAAATGAAAACTGCTGAGTTAAATCTTCCATTCCATATTTAGCTGTGGTGAGCATGTTGCCCCTATAGAAGACTTAGCCCCACTGTGTGATGTCTCCCTGCCAATCCAAGTGGGCCTCAGGGAGGAGGACTTGGAACTTTAGATTTGGGCACTCCCCTCCCCCCAGGCCTACCCCTTCTAGATCTGCACTTCCAGCAGGAGGTGACCCACCCCTGCTTGATGAGGCCAGTCTGGAGTGCACCAGCACTTGGGCAAAAGTAGGTGTCATCCCTGTTTGCAGAGGGCCCCTTCCAGAGCCTAGGACAGACATGGTGGCCTGGGTAGTGCTGTCTGCCGGACCTTGCCCATGAGAACTTGCTGTCCTCATATGTTCTCATGCTGCTCAGCCCACAGCCTTCCTCCTCCAGTAAATTTTCCAGAATTCCTGGTAAAGTCATGTCCCCTGGGCCCCAGAAGACCAGAGAGGTTAAGGGGCATCCAGTGATAGTCTGGGTTGGCCAGGACTGGGCCAGTGGAGGGAGGGGTGTGTGTGCGTATGCATGCATCTATGTTTGCACATGAGTAAGGATGCAGGTGTGCCTGTTTGTGTGTGTCAGCATGTGCTTGAGTGTGCATGCCTGTACGTGCAGATGCTCCATTCTACTGTATGTTGATGTGTGTTCATGCACACCTGCCTTGTGTGTTACTTTGCATGAACATGTGACAGTATGCATGCTTGTGTGGTGTACACATGTGTCTCAGCATGTTTGTGTGCTGTGTATACGTGTGCATGCAATTGTTCCTGCATGCTCACCTGGATGTGCATGCGTGTCTGTGCACATGCCTGAGTGTGCTCTTTCATCTCTCCTCCCACTTAGCCCATGTATTTCCCCAGGCGGCTGAGTTCTAGTCCTGGCAGAATTAGCCAGTGAGCCAGTCCTCGTTGGGTAGGACCCAGGCCTTTATGGCACCTCCTGGGGTTGGAGACCACTGGAGACGGTCTCAGGGGAAGAGTGTGTGGGAGTGCCTGACCCTGGGTCTGAGCCAGGCCTTGGTGGCTGGAGATGGTGAGCAGGTCAGTGGCTCAGGTCCCAGTCAGGTATCTACTCCCCCCTTCAGCCTTCCACCCCGCTCTCCCCTGCTTGCATGCCAGGCAGGTGGGTTGATGGTATCCACCTTGAGGCCCCCACTGCCTCAGAGCAGGTGTTGCCCTCTACAGTGAAGTTTTCCAGATATGCCCTGTTGTGGTACAGCAGATCTCCCCCGACCCTGGGTATCTCACTGAGGGACAGCTCAGGGAGGATAAAGTCATGCAGGCTGCCCTGACTGGTGGAAGCTTTGGTCATTGTGGGGGTGGGGTGGCATGTGGGGTTCAGTCCCCTTCTGCCTGGTAATGGTTCAAATCCCAGCACAGATGCAGACTCCCTCAAGAATTTTGATGTTCACTCCTTGTCTGTATAGTGAGGTGGGGGTGGATAGGATAGCTCCTGGTGGTTGGGGGGGTGGCATTTGTGGGGCAGGGCACTGACCTCCCCAATGTGTCCTGCCTGCTGCCCCTACGTGCCCACCCATCTGTTGCAGCCCATGTGTACAATGTTTGCTTGTCCTAAGCCAGCCCCAGAACATCCAGCCAGTCCCCTTCCTTTTCTATAACAGGCTGACTGCACTGGTGCACAGACAGTGCAGGTGCCTGAGAGCCCTGTGCTTGCTTTTATGTTCTGTTGTTGCCGTTTTAAACAATGGGCCTGCATTTTCATCTCGCACAGATTATGACATAGCTAACCCTTCCCAGAAGGTGTCTCGGAAGCTGGCTTGTACCACTGGAGTAGCATCATGGGCCTACCTCTTCTGGGATTCTAGGCGTGCCTGGTTCTCTCAGGCAGGCAGCTCTCACCTCCCTGGGAGCTCTCCCCTGGTGTTTGGCCCAGTGTCCCTCAACTTACTGGACAGACCTTGCCTCAGGCCCACTGTATCTTGCTTAGTGGCATTGGGCTTGAGTCTGCAAACACACATTGAGCACAGGCTCTATGCCAGGCTTCAGCATGCAGGAATGGGGAATGAGGAAGACTTTTGCTGGTGACCCCTCCAGGCTGCCTGGGCAGGGGGGTAGTGGAGGAAGGTCCTTGTGGCAGAGGGAACATGTGACCTCAGGCTGTGTTTCTATTCCTTGGTGGGTTCTGGAGAAGAGGAAGGGGTAGCTTGCAGCTCTCAGCCCACTGAGTGCGCTGCCGTGGGAAGTGGAATCTTTAAATAGCCTCTTGCTTTCCACTAAAAATAGCGAAGTTCTGCTGCCATGGAGGTGGTTGCCGGGGTGGCAGGTCTGGCTCCCAGCCAAAGCAGGCGTGGATTGCCAGCATAGCTGGTGTATGCTGGGGCAGTGGGCGGGGCCGTAGACATTCTCTCACCCTGCTGGCAGCCACGATTACCCTGTCCTCATGGTCCAGGCTGTTTTGGAGGTCCCCCAGCTCCACAAAGGGCCTAGGTACAGAAGGGGAAGCAAATGCCTTGGGTACTCCCCGCCGTGGAGCCATGGGAAAGACAGGGAGCCTGAGGCCAGAGAGACCTTGTGGGAGCTGAGTGGGTGATTCAGGGAATAACTACAGGTTCAGGGCTGGAGGCCGCAGGTCATGCACTCAAATATTGGTGGGTCCCCACAGGGGCCAATAGTCACTTGAGGCCTCAGGAGGACAAGAATTGTAGCCGAATCAACACCAGGGTGGTATACAAGGTCTTTATGGGAGCCAGGCAACTGAAAGGGGTGGCAGCCTTGGAGTCAAGTGTTAAGGGGTGGTAGATGGCAAAGGAGTGTGTGGGATTGTGGCGGGGGCGTCCTGCTTTTCTAGAATCTTTAAGTATTCTGTGCTGCCACATCAAGAGTAAGTTGACAAACTAGAAAGAAGGGAATCTCTGACTGGGTTGTATCCTTTAGAGGAGAGCAGGAGTGATGCCCTGCCACATATTTATTGATGGAGAACTATGGCTCCCACAAACCCCAGAATCTCCCCAATGAGGTACCCCCGCTGGACTGGTGACAGGTCTAGGTGAGGTCTGGGGCCAGTCCTAGCTGTCTGATGGGTCACGGGCCATAGACAGAATGGGTTTGCTGTCCATCCTGGACTTCTACCTTTATTTAGTCAGTATCCTGCAAGGGCAGGAGAGACCAGAAAGAAGCTGGGCTGGGGTGGGAGGATATGGCTTGTCTCTGGCCATGCTTCCTAAATAGTGCAGCCCAAGGGCTTCTTTGAGCCTTGGTTTCCTCACCTGGGGTGGGTGTTAATGAGGGTCAGAGTTGGCACCTAGAAAGCTAAGCACATACAGCTCCTGCTGGTTGAGCGAAGGAGGGTACTCAAAATTCAGTAGCCAGCCTGCTTCCCTGACTGCCACAGTGAGCACTAATGGTGGCCTTGAAGGCCCACCCTACAAATGCATGGTCATGTCTAGTTCCTTTGCAGCCATGTCTCCTTCCCACTCACCTGTTGCAGTCCTAGACCCAGTTCTACCCTTCTCTCTACCACAGGTGTCCATGGTTGACACGAGCTGTGTCCCCAGTTGTTCCTGTCTACAATGGTATCATCTTCCTCTTTGTCCTGGCCAACTTCAGCATGGCCACCTTCATGGACCCTGGCGTCTTCCCCCGAGGTAGGTCCCTGTGCTGAGGCTGCTCATCCGCTCACTCTTGCTAGAGTGTGAGTGGCTGACATGGGAGAGCCTTGGGGCAGGGAGGGGGAAAGGTTCTGGTGGGTGGGCTGGAAGAGATTGGGAAGCAGCATCTGCCAGAAAAGTCACTTTCCCGCTGCCTCCCCTCATCACCTCCACAGCGGATGAGGATGAGGATAAGGAGGATGACTTCCGGGCTCCACTCTACAAGAACGTGGACGTACGGGGCATCCAGGTCCGTATGAAGTGGTGTGCCACCTGCCACTTCTACCGCCCGCCGCGCTGCTCCCACTGCAGTGTCTGTGACAACTGCGTAGAGGTGACTGCCCTGCCACCTTTCCCCCTGCATCTCCCTCCCTGTCCTTCCTCTTCTCCCCCTCACCCACCATGTGCACCCTGACACATTGCTTCTGGCCAGGACTTTGATCACCACTGCCCCTGGGTCAACAACTGCATTGGGCGTCGCAACTACCGTTATTTCTTCTTGTTCCTGCTGTCGCTCAGTGCACACATGGTAGGCGTCGTCGCCTTTGGCCTGGTCTACGTGCTGAACCACGCCGAGGGCCTGGGAGCTGCCCACACCACCATCACGTATCCTTGGCCCGACCATAGAGGCAGTGGGGCCAGGGACACGTTTCACAGGGGAAATGGAGGCTTGGAGGGGTGAGGCCAGCTCCTGGGAGTGCCCCAGGGGAGGTTTGCTATCCCCAGGTAGGTGGTCTGTGGGGGGTAGTTTGTTCACAGGCACCTTCTTCATGTCCTCGCCCATGGCCATTGGCCTTAACGGGCCAGCATGGCTGTTATGTGTGTGGCTGGCCTCTTCTTCATTCCTGTCATTGGCCTCACCGGCTTCCACGTGGTACTGGTCACCCGGGGGCGCACCACCAATGAGCAGGTGCACAGCCTGGATGGGGGCCTCATAGTGATGGGGGTGGGGAGGTCCCCAATGGGTCGAGAAGGCTATACACTAAATAGGAACTGTGGGGGATGAGACAGGGCTGGGGGATCCTCAACCAAGGTGGTTTATGCATCTGTAGCAGGTAGAGGATCTGGCCCTGGAGACTGCTGGTGGGGCTTGGGGCGTGGGACCACCCCTGTCCCCTGGCTCATTCTCTCTGGGGACACTTTAGCTGCCAGTGACTCAGAACCCAGAAATTCTGTAGTTCCCTGTAGCGACAGACCTAGGTGGGGGGTGGCCCTGCGCTCACCCCCTGAGGAACCCTACTCTCCCTGTCTTGTCCCCTTGTCTGTCTTGGCCTGGGTCCTTGGTCACCAGGCTGGATAAGCTGTCCTGTGTCCACAGGTGACGGGAAAGTTCCGAGGAGGTGTGAACCCCTTCACCCGAGGCTGCTATGGGAATGTGGAACATGTGCTATGCAGCCCCCTGGCACCCCGGTGAGGCCTGGGCTGATATTGCGGGAGCCTTTCCCTGGTTCCGTGTGGGCAGCCACAGACCCTAAACCTGGTCCACTTCTGCTCTTGGCAGGTGGGGCCAACCCTGTGCTGGGTGTGTGTTCAGGCCAGGTTCCTCTGGCCGCTGACCCCTCTGCCCTTGTTGCAGGTATGTGGTAGAGTCACCTCGGCTGCCACTTGCCACTCGCCTGAAGCCACCCTTCCTTAGGCCAGAGCTTCTGGAGCGATCCGCACCACTTAAGGTCAAACTTAGTGACAACGGGCTGAAGGCCAGCCTGGGCCACAGCAAGGTGGGAACCTTGTGGTGGGGTAGGGTAAGGAGTGAAGGTCAGACCCTTGGAGGTGGGAAGGAGGCCTATAAGTGGAAGGCGGAGGGAGGGTCCTAGGTCCCATGTTCCCAGAACGGAGTCCTCAGTGGAACCATGTCCCAAGCCTGCACCCTCCCTACTACTGACCACTCCACCTCTCAGTCTAAGGGCAGCCTTGATCGGCTAGATGAGAAACCATTGGACTTGGGGCCGCCACTGCCCCCCAAGGCAGAGGCCAGCACATTTATCAGCGACCGACAGACACCACGGCCTGGCAGTGCTGGTGAGGTGGGGGAAACTGTGTGTGGGGGGGAACTGATTGTCCCTTGCCTGACCTTGGTTCATCTTCCCAGAGAGTGCCCTGTCAACACAGAGGACCAACCCTCCAACACCGGCCATGTACAAGTTCCGACCCACCTTTCCCACGGGTCCCAAGGCACCCTTCTGCGGGCCTGGTGAGCAGGTAAGGAGGTCCAGCCCTGCCCCATCCCAGGAGGCCCCAGCCCACAAAGCTCTGATCCCCTGAGACCTTACCCCCTACCTGGACCGTAGAAGGTCCTGTAGGATCTGGCATGACCCCAGCCTTTGGGTATACCAGCTGGGGGTGATGGACAGGAGCCAACAGAGGGCCTGTCCTGGGAGGGTCTGGCGCAAGCAGTCCTAGCCACCCCCTCCACTGGCTGGCATTGCCTGGGTCTGGTAGGCGGCTGCTCCCAGAGGCATCTGTGCCAGGATGCCTGGAATTCCATCATTAGGCACTCTATAACGCCCATGGAGAAGCTTCAAAAGAATTTGAGATTGTTTGAGAAAGGATAGTTATTTTCCCTGAAACATACAAGCATTCTACATATCACTGTGGAGTAGTCAACAGCCCTGGAGAGCCTGAGGAACGGTCCAGAGTCCTGAGCTTTCTCAGAACTGCCTGCCTACCTTCAAAGCCATCAGAGGCAGGCCTGCGATCCGGCCCAGGACATACGGACCAGCTCCACCCCTCTGTACCAATGTCCTGACCTCTCTTCTTTGCCTCTTGGTAGGCAGTGTCTTTGGCCTCCCTGGCCAGGATGTATGGCCCTGCCCCCAAAAGCTGTGGCAGCCTTTCTTGGGAATGGTGTTGCTTTAGATAATACCCTCGCCCATTTTGCCTCCTTCCAGGGCTTGTTCTGGCTTTTCTAGCGATTTCCAGCTGGTTGGCCAAGTTCCCTAAAGCCACATTTGTCCCTACCCACATCCCCTCTGGGTTTTTGAGTTTCTGCAGGCTGGTGTCCCTATGCTGTAAATCATGGAGACTCAAGAGGCTCTGCCTCTCTATTGCTATGGCTGACCCCTAGGCTGGATGCACTCCTGGAGTGCTGTCCTGGGTGTTGGCAACAAGCAAACAGACCTTGGGCAGTGCTCTTGACTCTCAGCTGGGCAGTGTCTGGACAAGGATCATTGGTCACTGTGGTTATTATATTTCCTCATGGCTCAGCCCACATGGTCCCATCTTTCCACCACTACCTCACTGACCCCCAATGAGTATGGACCAGAGCAGCCTTCCCTGGGGAGGCGCAGGGTCTGTCTCTGCTCTCACGTCTCTACTTCATTCTGTGGCAGGCAAGGAAAAGATGATGTGTCAGGAAATAGAGGGTTTGTAACTTGTGCCTGTGCCACCTCTGTCACTAGGTTTGTAGCTTCCCAGTGGACAGACAGGGCATGGCGCATATCATGGAGCACATGTGCCCTCTCTCCCCGCAGGTCCCTGACTCCCTGACGCTAGGGGAAGAAAGCATCCACAGCCTGGACTTTGTCTCTGAGCCCAGCCTGGACCTCCCTGACTACCCGCCTAGCAACCTGCACGTGGCCTACCCACCATCCCCGCCACTCAGTGCTGCTGGCACTTTCTCTGGCGCCTTGCGCTCTCTGAGCCTCAAGGCTACAGGCCAGCGGGGCAGGGACCAGGTGGCCCTGCAGCCCCTGCGTTCTGAGGGTGGGCCCCCCACGCCCCACCGCAGCATCTTTGCTCCCCATGCACTGCCCAACCGCAATGGCAGTCTATCCTACGATAGCCTTCTTAACCCCGGCTCGCCTGGTGGCCACATGTGCCCAGCCCACCCCTCAGCTGGTATGGCCGGCTATCACTCACCCTACCTGCATCCAGGGGCAATGGGGGACCTACCACGGCCCCCAACCTGCAGCTTCAGCCCTGTGCTGGGGCCCCGTCCCCGGGAACCCTCACCTGTGCGCTATGACAACCTTTCCAGGACCATCATGGCTTCCATCCAGGAGCGCAAGGACAGGGAGGAGCGTGAGCGGCTGCTGCGCTCTCAGGCCGACTCACTCTTTGGGGATTCAGGCATCTATGATGCGCCCAGTTCATACAGCCTGCAGCAGGCCAACATGCTGTCTGAGGGGCCCCGTGGCCCTATGCTGCGCTATGGCTCCAGAGAAGACCTGGTGGCTGGGCCTGGTTTTGGTGGTGCCCGCAATCCGGCCTTGCAGACGTCACTGTCCTCCCTGTCCAGTGCCGTGAGCCGAGCGCCTCGGACCTCCTCTTCCTCCCTGCAGGCCGACCTAGCCAACAACAATGCCCCGGGGCCCCGGCCCAGCAGTGGCTCCCACAGGTCACCGGCGCACCAGGGCCCACCCTCCCCGCCTGGCACTCCCCGCTCACCCTCCTATGCGGGCCCCAAAGCCGTTGCCTTCATCCATACGGACCTCCCAGAACCGCCACCCTTGCTGGCTGTGCAGAGGTGGGTGCCAGGGGTGCAGTGGGCTTCTCAGCACAGGAGGTGCTGGACACCTGGGGGTCCCTTTGGCCAAGCTTGTGTGAATTGTCCAGGCCTGTGGCTGGCTGTGGGGGTGAGCCTCAGTGGCTCCTGACAGACTTTGTGAATGTAGCCCAGCTCCAAGGATGTCCTGGTAGTTCTGTGGACCTCCCTGACTGCCCACCTGGCAACCTGCCCAGAGCTTCTTCCTCTGGAGACAGTGACGCTGTCCCTGTCCAGGAGGCTGATGCTAGGAGATATTGTCCTGCAACAGAACATGCCACCTGGGGTACCATGGGCCTGGCTTTGGTCAACACACAACCCTGCGAAACAGGGGTTTCCTTGTGCATAGATGTGGAAATGTCAAGACTTTGGGGCAGGGTGGTCTCATGTCCCCAATAGATGGGTCACTGAGGATGCCAGACAGACCACCTATTGGAACAGGTCCAAGTATAAGAGCTAAGCAACTGGGTGTATTGGCATCCTAGGGGCATCACCCCAGTCACCTTGAACACAACTTAGCCCATGAGGAGGTTACTGTTGTGGGTGTGACAGCCCCAACAGGTGGCAGCTGCATGGCGAGGCAGGGTACAGCCACTGAGGGGAGGGGCTCTCGCCCTCTTGAATGTTTGGACAGCGAAATCAGGAACACTACTTGTCAGTGGGGCAGCAGGGGGGCAGCCCCTCCTGTTCCTAGGAAGGAGCAAAGAAAGGACAAATCACTGGCCCCCCAGTTTGGGCCACCTGGATGGGATAGGACTCAGAGGCTTCAAGTCTGTGCCACTGGGAGGGACCAAAGGACCTGGGAAGGGTTGACAGCAATTCTGACACCTGTCTGTCCTGTGACAGCACAGCCCCTGTGCCTTGGGAAGCTCTGTACTGTCTTACTTTCCAGGAGGGATCTGATGAGCTCAGAGGGCAGGGGCTATCCAGGGCTCCATCTGTATCTGTGTCAATTGTCCTGTTGCCTCTTCTGGCCTGTCCAGCTGTGGTCCCATGTTCACCGTGTGCATGCATGTATGTGCTTGTTTTGATGCAGGGAACACCCTCAGCTGAAGACCCCCCCAAGTAAACTTAACGGGCAGTCTCCTGGCCTGGCCCGCCTGGGACCTGCCGCTGGCTCCCCAGGGCCTTCCGCCAACCCTGCCCGGCACACGCTTGTTAAGAAAGTGTCCGGTGTGGGTGGGACCACGTACGAGATCTCGGTGTGAGGACTGACAGTGGCACTGCTGGGACCGGGAACCCCCATCGGCTGCCCCCACCCCCCAACTTCACTGCCCTGGGAAAGGAGAAGGCCCAGGCCTGGTGTGTGGATCCATCAGCAAGAGAGAGAGCCACGCCTCCACAAGCCAGTCCCTCGCCCTCCATCCCTTCAGCCACCCACCTGCTCATGAGGGCATGGCTGGGCCAAGGATGGCAGCTTCTGCCTCGGTCCCCTGCTCTGTGAACTGGGGCAGTCTGGGGTCACAGATTGCATCTGCATGGACTGTCCCCATGTCCCTGAGGTTGCTGCCAGGCCAGTTGCTATCACCCACTACCCTTAGAGATGGGTCCCTGTGGCTTAGAGACAGACAGACAGACAGGCCTGGCCCATGGCCCTCCTCCCAGACCACAGGCTGTGCTGCTCAGCTGCTCTTAACGGTTGCCTTTCAGGGGCCCTGTGGGAATCTTGTAACTTGACAAGACCAGCTCTGACCCACAGGCACCTGGCCTGCTCTGGGTTCTGGCAGACAGGTAGATGGACGGACAGACAGCCAACTGTGGGTGGATCTGGCTCCATGTGTCCTGTCTCACCCAGCTGGTGGGCACGTCCCCATGTCTGTGCTCTGAGCTGCCCTGCCATGTCCCATGTGCTAATGCTTGGGCCCCCTGCCCCCACCGCTTTCATTGAAGCCTTAACCTCTACTTTATGCTCTTGTGGGAGGCAACGGGGGTAGGCAGGAGCAGGCATGGGGCTGGATGCTGCCACAGGGACCTGGTGAGACCAGAAGTCCCCTCCCTGCCAAACTGGAGATTCCCCACCCCATGTTATGCAGCCCCGTTGGAGCTGTGATGCCCATGTGGGATACACATTGGGGTGGGGAGTCAGTTCCTCCTGGCACCAGGGACCCGAGAGTAAGCACACAGCAGCGTCTGCTTGCATTGTGTCTGTTTTATGTTTTTATACCTACATCTATATATCTATAATTTTATTAAAAAAAGAAAAAGAGTCATTTTGATCCTTTTGATCCAATAACATTTTGATCCAATAACAGCAAGGAGAGGGCTGTTATTGCCAACCTGGGGGGAGGGGGCAGAACAGGTCAGGCTCCAGGAGAGTGACTGGCAGCTGGCCATCAGAGTTTTCCTCCTGGGCATGTCCATGGACTTAAGCTGAGTTGGAGATTCGGGGGGTGGGGCTGGCCAACAGTTCTTTGACAAGCATGAGGGTCCCCCGGGTCTGCGTCATTCCTGGCAGTAATGGTGTTTGGAGAAAGGCTGGGGCTGCAGACACTCCAGGGCATCCCTAGTAACACAAAGGCTGGACTAGGGGTGCATAAATGGGCTCATGCTGTCTTAGGACCCTGTGTGGGGGACCCTGACACTATACTTGCTGGCAGTCAGCCCACACTCCCTGCCAACCTGCCAAATGTTGTGGATGGTAGAGTATTGGTAACCCACAGCTTTTCAGGGCTTAGGCAGCTTAGACAGATTGGGGTGCTGGGGCAAGGGCTGGCCCAGTGTAGGAGATGAGCTGAGCTCAGTCCCTGCACCGGGCTGCCCTGTCCCCTGCTGACGTCCACCTTTCTACTTCTTTCTCATGGGACGCTGCGGCCCGCAGGGGGCGGATCAGTACCTGCAGTCATGGATGGGGGCTGCGTGGCCAGCCTAGAGTAATCCCCAGCCTGCACCTGTGCCATCTTGGTCTCCCGGAGGACCGCCTGTCTCTGCGGGTCCCCTGGAGCCCCGCTGCGGGAGTGCCTCCACGTGGGGCTGTGTGCCACCTGCACTCAGCTACCTCCCGCCTTTTCCCCAGCCTTTTGGGGCCAGAACCAGATGCCAAGTAGGTGGCTCCGGGACCTGGGAGGCCAGGCTGCCATGGACCCAGGGGGTCCCTTTCCACCAGCTGCACCTTGACTGGCTCCCAGCCCACCAGGGCCTGTGGCCCTGTGCCCACCCACCTCAGGAAGTCCCCACCTGCTGCAGGGGGTCTAGTACTTCCAAGTAGGGGCCCTGGGGTTGTTAGGACCAGCACGACTTTCCCGGGGTTATGCGCCATCACCCCGATACCCTCCCTAACCAAGCACTTTAGATGCCACTTCCTCCCCAGGGAGCCCAGGCCTCTGTGGGTTGGGCTGGGGTGGGGGGTCTCAGGTTATCCTTGCAGTCACTGCACTCCCTCCTCCACCCCTAGCCCAGAAACAGATGCCTTAACCTCCTGGAGCCGTTAAGTCGGGGTGGGGAGGAGACGCTGACCCCTCCCCTGCAGTTCCCATTGATGGCTCTGCCCTGGCCTTGTCTGATAGTTTTCACTCTGAGATGTCATACCTGAAGGGCTCAGAGGGCCCCACTGCCCACAGCCCAGCAAGTCCCTAAGCCCACTGGGCCCAGATGCCCCCAGGGGCAGGGCAGGACCCCCTTACCTGCCCTCTCCTGCCACTTGCCCTTTTCTTGCCTGGGCAGCTGCAAACCACATAGGTCTTCTCTATTGTTCTAAAAGGTATTCCCCCAGCCCCAATTTAATGCCCTCAATAAAATCTTTGATGTTTACCTCCATGACTCTGTCACCAACGTGGTCCCCCTGTCCTTTGAGCCTTGACAGGAGTGGGGGGCAGGGTGTTGTGGTTTGCCAGATGGGGACAGGGTTATGAGAGGGGTGTGAGGCCAGTGGGTCAGCAGAGTCAGAGCTAAGGCCTGATCTGAGGTCCCCTAGTTGGGACTGATACCAGATGCAAGGCCTGGGGATACATGGGCCTCATATTCAGTGGACACCCTTGGTTTAGAGCCTTCCCCATGACTAGGACAGTTTGGGGGCTTCCTGAGGAGGGGCTGTTGTCCCATTGGGTGTGCCACTCTTGAGGGACGCCCTACTGTGAGATGGGTTTTGGGAGACCTCAAACCTCCTCCCCCACTATTTCCATGGAAACAAACTCACTCTCAGTGTATGTCGCGACTATATGTCTAGCAGCAGGCCCAGCCCTCAGGACAGACCCCGCCTCCACCCTTCCTGGCTTCTGGCGGGAACGGTGCACAGCAGTGCCATGGGCGAGGGCCGGTGTGGCCGCTGGGCACCCGGGGCAGTGCCGGCTGCCTGGCCTCCTCCTCGCTGGGGCCGCTGGGCCTCCGGCCTAGAAGGGCAGGAAGTCGTCCACCTCGAGGTGCAGGAAAGGGCCCAGGAGGGCCCGGAGCTTCCAGACTGCGGCGCGGCTCAGCAGGGGCGGCACCAGCCCCTCGAAGGGTGCAGGGTCCACCACGTACACATAGGCGGCAGTGCAGGCCAGCAGGGCGCCCAGCAGCAGCCTCAGGGCCAGCAGCCTGTGGGCGGCGGTGGTCAGGGGGTGGGGGGCACCCATGGAGATGGTCCTCGGGGACTGGGCTTTGCCCGTGTGCACAGCCACTTACCAGAGCTGGCCTTTGAGGCTCTCAGGACATCCCAGCTTTGGCCTTGCCTTCTGTGGGGGAGGTGCAGGGTGAGAGCCTGCTCCCAGCGGTTCCAGTATTAATTTCTCGCTTTCTCCTCCCCCTCCCAGCACAGGCACCTGCCACCATATCTTCAGAAAGACTCTGGTCACCTGACCTCTGGTGGGGCTCCTACCACTTCCACTCAATCCACCTCCCCCTCCCGTCCCTGAGTGAGGCCTTCATGGGGGGAGTTAGGGGCTTACCACCATGCATGCCATCTGCTCCTTCCTGGCCTGGGTACGGCACTGGGCACGTTCCCTGGGTAGGGCGCATACAGTCAGGGCCGTGGGTGCCCCTGCCCCAGCCTGACACCACTCCCAGGTATGGTGCTATGGAACTGGGGAGGGGTCAAGGATCGGTCCACCCCACCTGAGCAGGACACTCGCCCTGGTCCTGGCTTAGCCAGGCTCTCCAGGCCCCTGATCCCACACATCACCCCAGAATCTCCAGCTGAATGTCCTCCATCTGGTCTAGTACTCCCCGAATGTCTTTCTTGAGGTTCTGGGGAGCAGAGGTTAAATGGATCCTCTAACCCTGACCACCCTGCAGCCTCCCCTTGCTGCTCACCATCCTCCCCTCTGCCCTGTTCCCTGCAGGCCCCCTCCTCCGTGCCCTTCAGGCACCTACCAGGAGACCAGTGGCCTGGTTGTTCAGGGCCATGTGTACGTCCGCCACACCATCCCACACCTGGTGGGAGGGGAAGGCTGGGTCATGCATGCTCCAATGAGCAGGACCTGTGGATGTGCCCAACCAGGTGGATCCCCTATCTTCCCCTCCCACTTGGCCAAGAAGGCACCTCAGTGATGGCCATCTTCTTCCTCTCAAAGGACAACCGGATCTGCTGCAGTTCATTCTGAGGGAGGGGTACAATGTGGGCATGGGCAGGGATCTGGGTCTGGGCTCACCCAGGTCTTCTGTGCTAGGACCCTCCCTGGCACAGCTCCTGGGCCCACCTGGGATTGCTGCACGAAGGACTCCTCCCCTCGGCACAGCTCCCTCCGCAGCAGTTGCAAAGGTGCTCTATCCTCCAGGGGCTGGGTGCTGCTCGGCTTGGGGGACTGTGAAAGAGCCTGGGGTCAGCTCAGTGCCATGGCCAGCGTCAGTGGTCCTGGACTGCTTCGGAATGGGGGTGGGAATGGGGTGTGTGCTGTCACAGGGTCATTCCTGTTGGCTACCCAAAGTCCTTCCTGGGCTGGGCCTGCCACACACTTACCCAGGCCAGGGCTGTGCAGCCTGAGTGCTCTGGGCACAGGGGCAGGAACTGCTGCCCTGGTCCCAGGAGGGCCCCCAGCTGGTCCCGCAGGTCCTGGTTTTGCCTTTTCTGGGTTGAGGCGAAGAGATGGGACCATCCGTCATGGTCACTTCTCGGACAGCAGAGGGGCTGGGGAAGGGGCTGTAGGCCAGAGGGGAGGGTTTGGGGCCTTGGAGCCTGTTAAAGATGGGCTCAGCCCGAAGCAGTGCCTTACTCACCAGATTCTGGTTCTCCTGTTCCAAATGGAAGAAGGACTGCTCTGCAGGCCCCAGGGGTATGCTCTGGAGCTGGGAGGGAGCTGCTCTGGAGGAGGCTGGGGTCCCTGCTCTTGGGGTCAGGGGTGAACCTGGGCAAGGTCTGGGCCCTGAGCTGGACGGCACCTCCTGCCTGGGGGTCCCCGGCTCTCGTCCTGAGTGCAAGGGCCAGCCCCATCCCAACCCTGCCTCCATTTGTCCCTGTCTTGCCCCTGCTGGGTCTTTTGTTCTCTGATGCTGCATCTCTCCCTTGTCACTTGAAATAAAATTCCCAGGCACCTCAGCGCCAACCCTGGGTGCCCCACCTGCACCCCCTGGGGCTGGGAAAGGCCTGGTTGACTCCATCGAGTGAGCAGAGGAGAGAGGTACGAGGCAGGGCCACCTTACAAAGCCCTGGCAGGGCGGATCCAGGCATCCTCCATGGCTGCTTGAAGCTGGGGGTTGGGGACACTGAGGGTGGGAGTGGCCACAGGGGCCCAGGGTTTTTGGCCCCTCCATCCCGCCCTGTGACCCCTTCCTGACCCCAGGTCCAGGCTCTGGCCTGGCTCCACCTGCCACCCTCTTACTCAGGGCTCTCTGGTGTCATAGCTCGCAGGGCAACCTCAGTGGCATCTGTCACAAAGGACTGGGTGAGCTAAGGAGGTCATAATGGGCCAGGGCGGTGGCCAGAGCAAGGGTTGAGGGGACTCTTCCACCATGTCACTTAAAGTTTCCTCATTTGGTCACTCCCTCTGCATATTTCACATCCCACTCACATGAGCCCCCTTAACAATTTTCTCAATATGTAAAGTAGATGATCAGACATGCATTTACAGCAAAACCACGCAAAAAAAAAAAACGGTGTCCAGTACAGTCTTCCCTCGACTTCTGCTGGCACAGAAGACATCATCCTACGGCCCAGACTTTTTACCTAACAGATCGCAATTTTTTTTTTTTTTTAACCACTTGTTGAACAGGATCTTAAAGGACCCTAATTATCCTCTCTTTGTAGGTAGGTGGGGGGCAGCAGGGCAGGAACCTAAGACTTGAAGACTTTCCATCTCTTGCCCAAGGCCGCAGTGCTGTTAAGGGATAGAACCTGATGCAAGCTTCTCTTCACGCTTCAGGGGGCTTTTCAGTGACTGTAAAGAATGTCCAATGATATTAGCCAGATTCTAGTCAGGGTTGCTTCTCCTTCCTTCCTTCCAGCATTCCACCATGCTGTCTGTCCCACTGACCCTTACCCTAACTCCTGCCACTGGGCCTAGAGTCCCTGTTTCCATGTCTTTCTCTTTCTCAGTTTTCTCCCTTGTGTGATAGAAATAGTCACAAATCTCTTTTCTTTCGCTTTCTTGCTCTTCTGCAATGTGACTTGGCTCTCGTCACAACAAGAATTCCTCTCTTCACCCTGCATTAGGGGCTGCCTTGGGGATTCACTCTTGCCAAATGATTTTTGCCAATATGCCAGGAGAAGAGGTTGGAAGAAGTCACATATGTTGGGCCTTCACCTCTCTGCTCTGGGTTCCTCTGCCATGGGGGAGGAATGGCCTTGCTTAGAATTTGAGGTCAGGAGTAAAGCCACAGCCCCTCAGTGTATTCTGCAGGACAGGACAAGCTCCTAAGTGGTGGGAGCTGTTGGCAAAGCAGTGAGTGGTATTTTCCTCACTGGCTCCAGAAATTGCCACCTGTGGGCAGCCCCTCCCCTGGGTGCCAGCCTGGTTTGAGTGCAAAGCCAGAGTGGGAGTTTGCTGCTGGCTGCCCAAAGTGCTGCCTCCAGGGCGGCTACACAGAGGCTGGTGCTGGTGGGGCTTGATGGCGGCTGGGAATATATTTGACACCTGGATCATAGAATGAAACAATAAGGTGCTAACAAAATGAACCAATCATGTTCATCAGCTCATTGGTTAATTATTTGGCATCAGAAGGGCTGATTAGTCCAAAAATGGTTCAACTGGTCCCTTGGAACTGAATATGGTCCAACCAGGCAGGTATCAACTAGGGTGAGGATATAAGGCAGGGTGGGAGCCAGCTTGGGACTCCCATTCTGTTCTTGGCTCCTGAAGAAGGAAGAAGGAACAAAGCAGAAAGCAGAAAGAAGCATGCAGCAGTCAGCCTCCAAAGAAAGTAGAGAAGCCAAAGAGCTCTGCAGTGACCAGGCCACTATACCTGCCTTTGACCTGATGCTGCCATCGCCTGGAAGGAGCATCAGAGCAGAGGCCCTGGGTCTGGTCTCTCAAGGAGGTGTTTATTGTTGGTGTGGGCCAATAATTCAGAAAGAGCTGTAACACTGGTGACAACGTGACCCACGGGCACTCTGTGGGACACTTTTGAGAGCTATTAACCATTCGGTGCTTTCCATCCCGACACTGTGGACACTATCTGGGATGAGATAAATGTGGCCTTAAAAACTCTGTTTCCCATTTGTAAAATAAGTCCCATTGTTTTTCCCTAGTCTGAGTGGTCTTGCAATTGTGCACAGCTGAAAATACACAGTGACCTGTGCTCTATGGGGAATTTTCTTTAATCTGCTATAGAACTGTAGGCCTGTTTCAGGAGGACAAGGGTTTCTGTCATACCTGCCCATCCATTCCCTACTGCCTGAAGTAGGTTGACAAACCAGCGAGACTTGCAGAGTCGCCACGTACCACGCTAAATCACCATGGCTTCAGCTACCAAGTTTGGAGTGGTCTTGAACCTGAACAAACCTGGAGGGGGTGACCTGGTCACCTCCCTCACCCTCTCACTAATGACTACAGGACATGACTCAAAAACAGACACAGGGGGAGAAACAAGAACAGAATTTATGTAGTTATTTACAGACAGACAAGGGAGAGGAGAGAGGGAGAGAGATTATTCTACCCCTATCCTAGCGTCTGTATTGCAGAGTCCAAGCCAAAAACCCCACGTGGAAGGTAGTTGCTGTGAGGGCTGGGGGTAGGGGGTAAGGGTAGACCTATATGGCTAGCTGAAGAGACCAGAGGTTCCAAGTGTCTGGCATGGGGTCCATATGTTTCACTACAGGTGTCCAGGCCAGACTGAGGCAAGAAGGCACTGAAGAAACAGTTGGGCTCCCACTGGGAGCCTTTGCCCTACTATGGTATCTTCCCATCACCAGAGGCACAGGGGGACCCTTCCTGGCTGGGGAACCCCACACTCTGTTGCACACCCTCCCTGTGGTCCTCGTAATGTGACCCTGAGTTTGAGAAAGCCCAAGGGTGGGGGCTTTCAGGGAGAGAGGGCTCTTGGCCCTACAGTCTTGGTGGTATTATTCTTTTTTAAAAAGATATATTTTATTTATTTATGCATATAAGAGCTGGGGTGTAAACAGAGGTGTGTGTGTGGGGGAGCTGAGAGGATTCACCAGAGGCAGAGTGGGGAGCAGAAAAGGCAGACTGACTGAAATACACTGCTGATGATGAGCAGCAGGTGAGTCAGGAGAGGACTGCTGAGTCATGTGCATCAGCTCCCTGGCCAGGGATGGAACTTGTGCTGCAGTGGCTGCAGATAGCTTCATGGTGCTGAGACTTAACCCCTTGTGCCACCAGAGAGGCCCCTTAGTCTTATTATTCTGAATGGGGACAGATACACAACATGCAAAACACCTTGCAAATCAGTGTCCTGGAATGGGGTGAATGTGAGTGTGCATCCCTTTGGAATTCCTGGCCAGGTGAGTGGAAAACCTGGCTTGCGAGCATTCAGGGGAGGCCAGGCCATAGCCCCGGTTGCCAGGCAGCTCACTCCTCCCTGGATACCAGTTTCCATGGCAGCATTTTCCTGCCCAAGTTTCCATGATGCCTAATGGCTTCAAGGAAACTGTAACCTGTGAGTAAATGCTGGGTTGGGACCAGGGCTCTCCTGCCTAGATTCACCTCATTACCTGGGCATTTAGTGCCCCATGTTCATTTCAAAAGCTGGGAAATAAACCCAGAGCAGGTGGAGCTCTGCGTCCTGTGACCAAGTGAGAGGGGCCACAGAGATGAGGTTCTACCCAAGGGAGCACAGGTAAAGCCTCATCTTTATGGCCCTCTCACCTGGTTCCTGGCCTGAATCTCTCTCCTTCTAATCCTCAGAGCCACCCTGTTTGTCCCCCAGGCCCTTTAGACTTCCTGGAAGAGCCCAGGCTGGAGATTACCACCTTATCTGTGGCTTCAGGTGAACCTTGCCCCTGACCTTTCTCTCTGAGCTGGTGGGTGAGTTGTTCTTTGCTCTGTGTGACAGACACAGGCTGACCTTCCTGGAGCTCATGGAGTGCAGACGTGGCTTGGGGATTCTGAGATGTCCTTTGATTCATAGCCTGGAGGATGGGTCCACTGGTGTGGCTGTGCTAGGATGGGATGAACTGATGAATGATTGCCACTTCCCAGGGCCAGAGGGCAGGTCTACTCTGGGTGAGTGGACACATGCTGCTGAGCACTAGGGGGTTCCCCACCCCACCCCAGCCTGTGGGGATGGCCCTGCAGGATTGAGGATAGGCTCAGGTGGCCCTGGGAATGAGGAACAGGTGAAGGACAAAGGAGGCCCATGGATTCCTCCTAGGGAAGTCCCATTCAGAGGCCAAAGTTCAGAGGGCACACTAGTTGCCATGACCCTGGGTCATTTGTTCCCAAATGGTGAATGGCTCACAGGATAGACCATGCATGGCAGGCCACTTTTCTTGCTTCCTAGTACTCTCTGACACCTGCTGCTCACATTTTAAATTTAAGGATCTGAAAAAATAGTAAAAATGTCAAGTAAAATCCTCTCAGGGAATGTGTGGCCCAATAAATCACTACTAGCTGAGGGCATCAAGGGCTCCAAGCTGGGGAGGTGGCCATGCTGGGCCTCCCAGGGCCCCTAAGCTCCAGGATGGGTGAAATGGAATGTGTCTCTTGGCTCAGACAAGAGATACCTCTTCCCCCGGAGGATTCCATGAGGCTATGTTCACCCCTTTCTCACTCCCCCTTGCCTATCTGCCCCTGCTAGCCGGACAGCGGTGCCTGGGGTGCCAGCATAGCCGAAGGGCAGATGGATGGCACCATGGTGGCCTTTGTTAGGTCCTTACTTGGGCCAGAATACAGGACTCCTGCTCACTTGCTTGCTCTGCCTTCCTTTTCCCTCTTCCTTCCTCAAGTTTTTGCTAGGAGTGGACAGGGCCAGCCATGACTGGACAGGCCTGTGACTGGCCATTTGAGGCCATTAGAGGCCTCTAAATGGGATTTCCTGGGGGATGGGGAGCCTGAGGGTTGGGTAGGAGTGGAGACCTCAATTGATCCCAGATCCCATTAGTATCCCTTGGTGTCAAGGTGCTTTCTCCTTTTGAGGGAGTCCCCTCCCTCTCCCAGCCAGCTAAGAGGTGGGTCCCAGGAGCTACCACCAGATGGCGCTGTGACTCTGTAGACTGAGCCTTCAGGGGACCTCGTGTCCAGGGCAGCCGAGTGTCCCCTAGGTGAAGGAGAGTCAGGAGTGAGTCCATCCAGGCTGAAACTTCTGGTGAGGCAGAGACCGTGCTACTCATTTGGATCTGTAATTCCATGGGGGCCCAGGGCAATGACTTGCAAGACAGTGGGGTTAGAACCTCCCTAAATTATTCTACCCACTGTTCACATTGGAATTATCCTCACGCCTCAGG